GCGAAACAAATGACCTGTTGAAAAAGGGCCGTGCAGGGGGCGAGTGGACCGGAGAGGCGAGCGTGTCCATGGGGGGGCGGGATGTGGAGCTGATGGTGGGTGGGTGTGACACGGGGTTGGGGTTGTGGTGGGCATGGGCTTTGCTTTGCGGGGGGGCGTGGGTGTTTTTGCGCCGGGGTTGGCGAGGCCGTCGATGGGAGGAGTCGAAGGGGGAGAAGGCGGTGCTGCCAAGAAGAGGGGCGAAGGATGAAGATGAGCCGGGCGTGGTGTTGAAGGAGACTGATTGGTGGGGAGGGGTGATTGCCTTGAAGTCCAGGCGGAGGGGAGATTGGCTTCTCATGAAGATGGAGAAGTAGACGCTGCGGATGGCGCTGTCGAAGGTGGCCGTGTCTGTCGGGGGGACCAGAGTACGGAAGAAGGCCCAGAAGACGTGTGGGTCGGGGCTGTAGCCCAATTTCATGAGCGCAGTGGCGACGTCTCGGGCCTTGAGGAGAACCGTCGGGCGGTGCGGGAGCCTGTGGAACAGGTGATTGATGGCCTGGGTGAAATCGACCGTTATGAGCAGGTACCTGCGAAGGAGCGCGGGAATGCCGTCCGGGGGAAAGTGCGGGTCGAGATCCGAGTGGAAGATGAGTTCCAGGAAGTTGGGCGCCGAGATCTGGGAATTGAGGAAGAGGGATAGGGCATGTCTGACGCGGAAATGGAAGGTGATGTTGGAGGTGCTCGTGGGCGGAGAGGCGAAGTGGAGCTCGGGCTTGACCGAGGAGTCGTGGGGGGCGAAGCCGATGCTGAGAATGGTCTCCAGATCGTCGGAGAGCGGGTCGAAGCATGCGCCCCAGGCCTGGTCACCGGTGATCCAGTGGGGGAGGGAGTTGGCTTTGAATTGAGAGGTGTGGCTGAACCAGCGATGAGACCATGCCTGGGCTGGGGCGGTGTTTACGATGGTGCTTCCTTGGAAGCCGGGCGAGGGCCAGTGGTGGGTGGGGCGGGGGGCTGGGGCTGGCTGTGGGTATCCCGCCAGGGGGCTGTAGTGTGGATTGTGTGGGTTTTGTTGAGGAGGGGCGGTTGGGGGAGGAGGGGGACGATAAAATAGGGGGGGCTGAGGGGGGGGATGCTGGGTTTGTAAGGCCAGATCCTGGTTGACATCCATGGTAGCGGTGGGGGGGGGGGGGGGAGGGGAAGGGGTCAAAGCAGTCTGCGGACGATGAGCCGGCTATGCCGAGGTGAAAGACGCGGGGGGGGGGGGGCGATCCCGGAGACCTTGTGGCCGGGAGGAAAAGAAAAAAGGTGGATTGGGTGTGTGCTATCACAGGGAGAGGAATCCGCAGACCGGGGCGGAAGGCCCGGCAATATACACCGGGAGGGTGGGGGGCTCATATATACAGCCGGATCTGAGGGGGCGAGCTGCACGCGATGTGGTGGCGGGGGCGGCGGGGGCTGCGCCCCCGTGTGCCTCTCGGGCGGCCGGGGAAAAAAGAGAGAGGGAGCGATTGCAGTCTGTTGGGGTTTGTGCCCGCCCGCGACCCCGCACATAAGAAGATGGAATATTTCAGGATTTGCGGGATCGCATGATGGGCGGGCACGGGTTGGGGGAGGGGCCAGCCCGCGGGCACATTTGTGCCTGCGGGCCTCTCCGGAATGGGGCCCAACCCCCAGGGGTAAGAAGTCACTCAACAGATGTCTGTTCAGCGGAGTGTTCCCCAGGTGGGATTACATCTCCCGCCCGGGAGAACGGGTGTGTCTCGGGCCAGGGAACCTGCCCGGGTGGGAAGCGTGCCGATATCCGGCACACACCACGGGCGAGGCCCCAGAGGCCATGAGGCAGCTATGTATCGATAATAAGAAGAGGAGGCGGCCGGAATTGAAACTAGAACCAATAAGAAGAATCCCAGCACGCCGAACCCAACTAGACCATTGCGCTCGGGGGATCAAATCCCGGAGGTCATATATGTACCTTGCCTTCGGGGGCGCAGCCGGAGGTGCCGCCGGACCGCCGCCCTGTGGCTCCTCTTCACGGGCCACCAAAAAGAGGGGGAGAGGGCGGGGAGCGGTTGCGGTGTGTTGGGGGCTGTGCCAGCCCAGGGACCGCCGCAGATAAGATGGGAATTTAAGCGCGGGATCCCCCGCCGGGGGTCGGGCTGGCACACCCGGGGCGAAGGGCCGGGCTCGGGCGTGTCGCCGTCTTGCACTCTCCCGCGGACGGCGCGAGCCGGAAGACGCGAGCACACGCGGGCCCTTTCTGTGGCGGGCCCCGCCCCCGGGAGGGGGGGGTTGTTGATGTGGGAGGACGACGGCGCGGCACCGGGAGGAGACGCTCTCTCTCTCGGCTGACCGCACCCATCCTCCCCCTCCCCCCCTCTCACGAGACAAGGGGGGGCGTTCCCCGTGTGTGCGCGGAGAGAGAGCCCGAGAGGCACACGTACACACGGGTTGTGGTCGAGAGAGGGAGGGGGACCTGGCCTCGGCACGGGGAGGGAGAGAATCCCCCCACCGGGCGCCGCCCGCCTCTCCTCCCGGGGGCCACGGGAAGGAGCAATAGTAGCAGCAGAAGAAGTTGGTGCCGGGGATCGAGGTTACACCAGGGCGGAGAAGGATCCCACGCCACCGACCCAACAAGACCATTGCGCTCGCATGGCCGGTGTTTGGAGGTGGCACATATACCGTTGGGGGTTCTCCGTTGGCAGCCCAATGCTGGATAGTATAAATAGACTGGGCGGGCGCTGGTTTACCATCGCCGGTTGAGTGGTGTAATGGTTATCACGGCAGACTCTGAATCTGTCAATCCGAGTTCGATTCTCGGCTCGACCTTCCTTTTTGGCGCCGGACGTGGCGTCTCTTTCGCGTGCGCCAGGCGGCGCTGCCGGCGAAGAAGGGTTATGGTTATGGGGCTCTCCGTCGCTTTTGGTCGCGTTTCTCCGATCCGTCGGGCGCGCGTCCGATCAATTGCGGCCCCGCCGTGCTTGTGAAAACAAGGCAGACGCCCGGCAACGGGGCGCCCTGGAGCCGTGCCCGGAGAGGGGGCCAGGCTGGGTCATGCATGTGGACGCGTGGGCGGTGGCAGGGCGGACCGCCTCATGGCGGGGGGGGCACAGCGACACAAGCCCGGCGACCGGGGCGGGCACACGCGAGGACCGAAGGGCATCCCGATGCTGCCTGCAGGCCGGACGCCGATGGAGCTGGACGCCGCGTCATCGGACCGGGACAAGGCGAAATACCCCATAACAGGGGGGGGGGGCGAGGCGTGTCGGGGCCCTGCCACGCCGAAGGGGGGAACATCATCCCGGCTGTGCGGGGGCCTGCTGGCGCATCCGGCGGCATGCTGGCGGACGGCCACCGGACACCGTCGCCTCCTGCACCGGGGCGAGGCGAGATGCCCGGCGGCGTGTTCCGGGGGAGGGGGGGACTCAAGAGACGCACCTCGCCACAAGCCGCCTCCCCCCCGGAGGGAAGCAACAAGACTGACGGGGCTTGGCCAGGTGTTGGACCCAGGGAATCGGTTAACGACTCTGAACTATCTCCCCTGAAATGACATTCGGAAGACTCCCAGGGGATTCCATAGACCGCGGAGTCGGTTAAGGGTTCGCGAGCGCGCCAGGGTTTCCCCGCGACGGCGGGCGCGAGCGTGAGACGCAGCACCCGGCGGACAGGCGGGGTGGCCCAACCAGCCGTCGGGGCACTCCGACCAAGGGGGATTTATCGGCCGCTCGGGGGGGCGGCGCCGGGACCCGCTGGCGGGACATGCGCCCCCCCTCCCCCCCAGGCTCGAGTCGTGGATCCATCTCCCTGGCCCGACCCCGGGCTGCGGTCCGTGCGCCCTGGGGCCAAAAAATAATGTTTTGATTGGAGTGGGACTCGAACCCACGAGGTTTCCCACTAGTACCTGAAACTAGCGCCTTAACCACTCGGCCATCCAACCAGACGATGGGTGCACCCTGGGACAATTGGAATAAATGTGCTGCTGCCGCACGGAACGCGTGGCGGCATCCACGGCGCAGGAGCCACGGGTTTGGCGCGCATGCACCGCACCGACGTCGGGCATCCCCTGCCTGCCTCACAAATTCAGGCACATCGGTGGGCACGCCCCCCGGCCCCGCCTGGCCGGCCGACATGGCCGCACGGCGGGCCCACCGCACGGTGCCCCTTTGCCCGGTGCCCGGGTCGCCCGCTCACGGCCAGCCGGCTCGGTCGGCAGCTCGGGCCGCATCCAGATCCGGTCCCGGCCCATGCGACACCGGGGCGCGGCCGAGCCAGCGGATCGCGCGGCCCCTGGGGAAGGGGCGCAAAAGTGCCGCGGTGCCGGGCAGGCCCCAATGCCGGGGCCAAGGGGGCGCTGCGCAAGCCGCGACGGCGGTGACTGGCCATGCTCCCGTTAGGGGAGGACTCTGATCGGTCCTCGTGGGCGGATCCCCGCGACCCGGGACCCACCCCCCCCCCTCCCCGGTGGACCGCGTGGAGGTGTCGCAGCGGCGACCGTCGAGAAAACGGCCGAAGGCGGAGAGCCTGCTGCCGGGATATCCGCGGGACGAGGGCGCGCGAGCGGCATGCTGGCGGCTCGGTCGGGGGGCGCTGCCTGCGAGGCGCGGCCGCCCCACATGCCCGGAGCTGGCCTGTGCCCGGGTGGTTCCCACAGGCCGCTGCTGGTGCCTGTGCTCATATCGTGGATCTGCGTGGGCCCAGAGGCCGGCGCCGTCTGCGGGGCAGCCCCGCCCGCACGGCCCCGCCGAGATACCGTGCGGGTGTCAGTGGGGAAACGCCTCCCGCGGGCGCGCCTCCCGTTACCGCGCGACCCGGGGGATGGGTCAACCGAGAGCCCCTCTCAACCGGTACCAACCGGGAATGCCGAGCCAAGGGTGAAGGTGTGGGTATTGTATTCGGAAAGCCGCTGGAGGATGGTTCGAGCAGCGGGCTTCTCGGCTCACGGCGGATGCTTAAATAGTGTGGGATTCGGAATGCCCCTCGGGGGCACCGTGGGCAGCCCCGTCAGAGCACATGATGCCACGTTACACTCCCCAGGCGGGGAACGGATCCGGCGGATTCGAGGGTGCCGATGGAGAAGTGGCATCCGGGCGCGCCGCGGATGGGGGGGAAGAGTACGAGGTAGCGGCGGGTGGAGAGTAGAGTTTGATGTCGGAAAGGGGAATGTGGAGCGACTTGCGACCTTCGACCGGGGCAGCCAGTTTCACGGTGCTGGCGCCCACGCTCTCGACGAGTGTGGGAGGGGAAAATCTCGGGCCCAGGCCGAGCGGTTGGGCCTTGGGCGAGTGCCGCGGGAAGAGAGATACCAGGACATAGTCGCCGGGTTTGATGGGTGATTGTGGCGCAGGGGTTGCGAGTGAGGATGGGCGGCGAGCCGTCCGCTCGCTGACCAAGCGGTCGTAGGCGGTTTTGATGGCTTCCTCGTGGGGAATGTGGGGCCCAAGGATCGAGGGGATGGCGCTGAGGGAGGCGACCGCATGCGAGCCGAACACCAGCTCTCTCGGGGAGAAGCCCAGTGAATTGGGGCATGCATTGTGCGAGGAGGTTGCCTCTTCGAGGAGGCTGTTGAGGGTGGTGAGGTCTTTGCGAGAGTTGCTGAGAATGGCCAGTCTCTGCTTGAGGGATCTTACGGCGCGCTTTGCGGCGCCGTTGGAGTGGTCATGAGGGGGGCCGGAGTAGGTGGGGCTGATCTTGCGGCTGATGAGCTCGTCCTTCCAGCGGGCGCAGTTGAAGGGGCTTTCGTCGGCGGCGTTGACCGTGGCGATGGGAGGGTGACCGGGAGGCAAGGAGTGGAAGAAGGCACACAGGGCCATGGCTCCCGTCGTCGAGGCGGGCACCACGTGGGCCATCATGTACCTGGAGAAGGTGTCCACCATTACCAGCACCTTGTATTTGGTGGGATGGTGGGGCAGTCGGATGGAGCAGAAGTCGACGGCCAATGCTTCAAAGGGCCTCGTTGGGATGGCGGCTGGCCCGGAGGGGGCGGGGGCTAATGAGGAGCTCTTGGGCTTGAAGCGATGGCATAGGAGACAGCGCTGGGTGGCATTTCGGGCTGCCTTGTCGAATCCCGTGCCGGAGAAACCACGCATGAGGATGGCGGTCAGCGAGGCCGAGCCGGTGTGATTGATCTCCGGCAGTTCGTGTAGCAGAAGGGCGAGGGCCTGGACATGAGCCTGGGGGATCCAGATTCGGTTGTCTCGCAGGAGCAGGCCCTCTTTCGAGCGGCTGAATCCCTCGGCAAGGGCAAGGGGCTCCTCGTTTTGCCAGGCCTTGATGCGGTCAGTGAGGTCTTTGTCCGAGAGGATGCTGAAGCCAAGGCCCGATGCCAGGGTGGTGTTTCGCTCGGCATCGGCCTCGGAGCAGGCGCGGCGGAAGGGGGCCTCGTCCTTGGGCGGAAGCGAGAAGGGACCGGGGCGCGGGCGATCCGGAGGGGATGGCCGTCCCCGGGCCCTGGGGGCATTGCCAAAGAGGGGGGAGGTCGGAGGGGGGGCGTGGATGTTGCCTTCCGGCGAGGCGTGGCCGTCAGCAAGCGGGGGAGGACGGATGGGGTGGTGGGAGCCCGCGAAGGCTGTCATGCCGTCCCAGCTGACGATTTGGGCGCTGCGATGTATGGTGACCGTGACATCCGTGGTGTTGCTCGGAGCTGAAAGCGGAGGAATGAAGCCGGGGCCGAAGATGGAGGTGAAGTGGGAGGAGCGCAATGCGCGGAGGCTGGGTTGTTGATGAGCCGGGCAGTGGGGCGACATGGCAGCCCAGAATTCAGCGGGGTCAGGGGCAATCCCCAGTTCGGTGAGAGTCAGGGCAAGGGCCCTGATCCGGAGGGAGAACAGCATGTCCTCCCGGGTGATCCAGACTCTGCGGAGGAATTCGATGTAGGCCCAGAGAGTGTCGGTGTCGGGGGGACAAAGGAGGGGGATGAGACCGACGGGATCCATCGGGGGGACCAGTGACTGGATCCACTTGAGCCCGGAGAGCTCTTCGAAGGCGCTAAGCGACATCGGTGTGCTCATGAACACGACTATGGCCGCCCGAATGCGAACGGCCAGAGCGATCGACTTGTAGTGCTGCCCGAGGCGAGGCTCCCCGATGCAGATCGAGGGGGTGGCGCCCGGGCGCCCGGAGGACGGGGGGAAGCCGTTGGCGAAGATCCTCGACAGATGCTCTTCGTCCAGTTTGAATGGTATGACGGGAAGGACCCCTTCGGCCCACTTGGGCGTCCAGCATCGCCTGAGGGTGTCCATGTTGTGCCGGTGGAGTTCCGGGCTCCAGTGGGGTCGGTGGAAGGAGCCTTGGAAGATTGATGGAGAATACTGTGCGTAGTAGCTGGGATGGCTGGACTGAGGATCTTGTTGCTGGTGGTCGTGGGGGGTTGGGGGAGGGGAGAAAATCCAGTGGGGGGGGTGCTGTAGGTGGGAAGAGGTGGTGGGGGGGTGGGGGGGATATTGGAAGGGGGGTGGGAAGGGAGGGGGTGGGGCGGGCGGGCTTTGCACGATGAACGGGCCCGACGTCGGGGCTTGGGTGGATGTGGGAGGGCGAGAAGGAGGGCCCAGGGTGATCGGGGCCGATGATCGGGCGGGGGGGGCCGGTTGGTGGGCTTCGGCAGGGGCGGGCGGCTGGAGAGCGGGCGCTGTGCCGGTGGTGATATTGCCATTCGCCGGGGAGGATGCATCTTGCCTGTGGGGGATGGGGGCCGGAGCCGTGGTGGTTCTTGTCGACTGGGTCCGGGACTTGAGTCGATCTTGCGCAACGACGCCGGCGAGAGCCGCGATGAGGCCGGCGGAGTGTGTTGAGGAGGATGGCGGAGGATGGGGCGCTGGATTGGTGTAAAGAGCGTAGACATGCTCGAGGGTGTCTCGGTGGGCTTTCGAGAGGTGGGCCATTTGGGTTTTTAGGCCGGATAGGACCTTGTCCAGGGTGTGGGCCTGGGCCGCTGCAAGGCCGTTGATGAGTTCGGTGCTGAAGATGGGGATCTTGTCAAAGAAGTCTCCCCTTGACGCGGGAACCGCCGCGATGATGCTGTTGACTTCCACGGCTCGCGAGGCGGTGCGCTCCACTTCGCGTCTGAAGGCCTCGTCATGACGCAGGGCCAAGATGACGCTGGAGTTGGCTGAGTATTGGATCGCCTGTGGGTCATAGAAGGGGTAGATGATGTTTGCGCTGTGTGTCTGCCGGGAGAGCTCGTCCGGGGTGAAAAAGTGCCCCGTGAGGAGAGGACTGTCGCGGGCCTGGTTGGAGATGAGTTGTTCGCTGATGTTGCGATGCAGTCGAACCAGTGGGGTTGTTGCATAGGGGGGAAAGCGAGAGGCATTTTCGCTGAGAAGGAGTACGAAGATCAAGTGTGCGGGGGGGAAATCCTGCAGAGTGCCGACGAGCATGTGGAAGTGGGAGATGGCGCTCAGGCTGGGGAACTGGCCTGAGATGGCGAAGTCCAGCATGTCCCGGAACAGGGTGATTGCCAAGGCCAGGGCTCTGTTGCCTGGGCGGAAGGAGGTGAATGCGTGCCATTGGCCTAGCAGGGAGAAGCGCTCGGCCATGCGCGGGATGAGTGGGTCTGGGTGCAGGATCTGAGCGGATGGGGCGCCCTGGGCCGTCATGGTGACGGAGGTGAGGGTGGGTGTGCGTGCGGGGGGGGGGGGATTGGAGTCAGCGGATAATGAACCAAGATCTTCTCTCAGCCAGTCTATCAACCCGGGAGGCTGCGATTCGAAGGTGTATGTATTGTATTCGGAAATCCGCTTGACGATGGTTCAAGCAGCGGAGGTTTCTCACACGGTGGGGATGTTTAAAAAGTGAAATCCGGATTGCTCCTCGGGGCACCGTGGGCAGTTCGCTAAGAGCCTGGGTGCCAACTCTTCCAGCGGGCGCTTCTCGTCGCCGCGTGATCCGGCATGGGCCGATGGGGCCCGTGTATTCCGCGTGACCGGCATCGCAAATGAACCGGTTATGCCGAGTGAAAGATGAGGGGGTGATCTCAGAGACCTTGGGGCTGAGAGAGGCGGATTTGGTATATTAAAAGAAAGAATCCGCAGACTGAGGCGTAAAGTCTGGGGAATACACTGGAAGGATGAAGCTTATATACCCCCGAATCTTTAACTACATCATGTGATGTATGTTACAGCAAAGCTGCCTCGCGGCACCACCGGGAACGCCTCCGCCTCAATGCGGGTCTTTGGGATCCCGCTTCCCGGCTGCCCGCGCGCGGCTCGGCATGGGGCTGGGCCAGCTGTCGGTGCACTGCGCAGACCGGCCTGGCGCTTCGCCGGGGAAGGCGGTCCCCGGAGGGGGGGCGCTGTGTCCCCGCCCGGCCCGTGGGATGACCCTTTTGCTGGCCTGGGCCTCCTGGCGGCTGTCCGGCCGGGCCCCGTTCTGCGCGGCACGGCCGTGTGCGGTCGCTGGTGCCGTCTCTGCTGGCACCCCCCTCGCGGCGGGCAGAGCGTGCTGGGGGGCGCCGGTGGCGGGGACATTGGCGGCTCGGGGGGGGCGTCGGGGCAAGGCGCTCGATTCAAGAGGGACACCCGTGGGGTGGGTATCCATCGGAGTCCCGATTAGTATAGTGGTGAGAATCCCCGCCTGTCACGCGGGAGGCCCGGGTTCAATTCCCGGATCGGGAGCATTCTTTTTCGTCGCTCGGGGGCGAGAAAATCCGCGCAACAAAAGCCCCCCGAGCAGGGTACCCCTGCAGAAATGGCCGCGTAGCTCAATTGGATAGAGCACCTGACTACGGATCAGGAGGTTGTGTGTTCGAGCCGCATCGTGGTCACACATTTGTTTTTTTTTGCCGTTTCTCCCTGGGGTGGTGCGTTCGTCGTCGGACAGGCAGGCCCAGCGGGGGGGGGGGGCCGGGGCACGCCCGAGCGGGAAGGTGGGAACATCGGGGTGCGAGCGCGCGCTCCCTCCCGGGCCAGGGGTACGAGGAGGGGGCGATGTACGCCGGGTTCGGCGGCGAGTGTGTGTGTGGCTGTTTTATGATCCCATCAATATTAATGTTGGTGGCTGGCCGAGGCGGCTCTTCCGGTCGGTCCACGCACAGGGGCAGGGACCTCGCCATTGGGGAGCATGCGCGTGCCGGGTGCGGGAGCATCTTCCCCCCCCCCGTTGGTGCTCTGTTTTCCCGAGGTGGAGCGGCGTCCAACTGCCGACGCATCGGCCCGCATCTGCGCGCCCGTGCGGGGGTGTGCGCCGGCTCCGGCGCGGGGGGCGGGGACACGGTCGCCACCCTTCGGCGGGGGTCGGGGCGGCTCATGAGTGTCGGGGGGGGGGGGGGGGGGGCCCTGTCTCCGCCCCCGGCGTCCTGCTCTGGCTAGGGCGGGCTGGTGTGCGCCTTCCCCCTGTGGCGCGGCCGGCGCTTTCGCCACGGTGCGCGTGTTATTGCGCGGCCCCGGGGGAAATCCGATGCAAGGGTGACGCAACGGGCGCCGGCTGGGGGGTGGGCCCGGGGATTCGGCGTCTGGGCCCCCTCCCCCGTCCGGTCAGATGAGGGGATGTGTGGGAGTCATTTCCCTCCGGCGCTCTGGGGCTGGCGATGTGCTTGTGTGTGTGTGTGTGTGTGTGTGTGTGTGTGTGTGTGTGTGCGTGTGTGCGTGTGTGCGTGTGTGCGTGTGTGCTTGTGTGTTTGCGTACTTGTGGGCGTGTGTGTCCGCGCACAGAGCCCGCCCGTGTACACAGCCCGCCCGTGTTTAGGTTTGCCAGTGTGTGTGTGTGTGTGTGTTTGCACACGTCCGGCTGCCTGTGTGGCTGCCCGTGTGAATTGGGCGTGGGTGCGGCCATCGACACGCGCCGGCCGCCGCCCGGGCAGGGCCCCTCCCGAGCGGGGAGGCGGCGGGCGACACCCCGGCCGCGGGATCCGGCCCCGTCTTCGGCGCCCGACCGGCGAGGCCCCTGCCCCGGGGGTGTTCGCTTCGGCGGTGGCGGCCTTTTTGCCGGACGAGCCCGGGCCCACGCCCGAGCAGGCGGCCGCCAAGTTTCCCTCCACCCTACTTCCTTCCCTTCCTGCTTCTTCCCTTGTCTCTGGGTGTACCCCCGCCTTTGCCTCGCTCTTCCCCTCCCTCCCTCCTTGTCAGCGCTGCTTGGGCTGTCCCTCCTTCCGGGCCGCATCCCCTCCCGCCCCCCCCTAAGTGCACCCCCGATCGCGTGAGCTTCCGAGAGCAAGAGCAGCACCACCGAGCCGAGACACTCGCCCTCCCGTTTGGCCTGTCTCCCCTTTGCTGGCAACCACAAGCATGTCCTTCTCGTCTTCCTCCTCGGCTCATGGCACCCGGCAGCCGACCGCCGGCCGGAGCTCGCTCCTGTCGTCGTCGTCGACCACCGGCCACGCGTCCACGGTCAACCGGCTGCTGAGCCCGTCGTCGACCGGGGCCAATGTCAGCCCCCTGACGTCGTCGCTGCTGTCGGGCTCCACTCAGGGTGGCCCTGCGCCGGGCGGCTCTTCGCTGCTGTCCGGGTCCTCGCTGCTGTCCGGGTCCTCGCTGCTGTCCGGGTCTTCGCTGCTGTCCGGGTCTTCGCTGCTGTCCGGGTCCTCGCTGCTGTCCTCCAGCCGGGCCAGCCCGTCGGTCCTGTCGTCGTCATCGTCGATCATCGGCGACCGGCCCGGTGGCGCGGCGGCATCGCCGAGCGTGCTGAGCCCGCGGCCGGCGGCCACCGTGGGTGTGCCCGCGCGGCCGGGCGTCACCCCGACCATGCCGGCGTCGGGCCCCGCCGCCGGTGCCCCGGTGCTGGCGCACCAGCAGCCTGGCCAGCAGCGCACCTCGCCCCCGGACGCCGGGGACGATCTGCTGCTCCAGCTGGAGCAGGCCCAGGAGCCGGTCACCCGTGAGGGCTGCTTTGCTCCGGCCGAGCTGCTGCCCGTGGGCGGGCTGTTTGCCGAGCGCCCGCTCTCGGCCGGCGAGCAGGCCCTCCTGCGGACGGCCGGCGACGCGTCGCCCTTCTCCGGGGCCGGGGGTGTCGGGCCGAAGGCGGCCCCGGGCGTCGGGGCGGTTCCCCCGTCCTCCTCCTCGCTGGCCATGGACAAGCTCAAGTACGACTTCATCCTGTCGGCCTCGAGCAGTCTCTTCATGAACCCGAACTACTACAGCAAGGCGGATTCCTCGCGGTGCGTGCTTCCGGCTGCCTGTTTCCCGTGGAAGTGTGGGTTCCCACCCGTCTGACCTGTGTTCGCGTTGCTCGTCTGCTCTCTGGCCCCCTTCGCTGTGCCTGTGGCGTGGCTGCATCCACATGCAAATATGTATGCATGCATATATGTATACGTATATGTATGCGTTCATATGTGCATACATGCCCACACATGCCCACACATCCACATGCCCACACATCCACACACACACACACACACACACACACATCCACACACACATCCACACACACCTGCTAGCCTCGAGCTCCTGCGCCTGGCACGCACCGTGGCCGAGGCCGGCGACCCGGAGTTCGTCCTGCGCCTGGCCCTGTACGTGCGCCTGGAGCTCTTCGTCCGGTCCACGGCCAACTACCTGCTGGCGGTGGCGGCCTCCATCCCGGCCTGCTGCCCGTACCTGCTGAAGTACCTGCCTGCGACGGTCCTCCTGCCGACGGATTGGCTGCAGGTGGCCGAGCTGTACCGGGCCTTGCGGTTCTACGAACTCCACACCATGGAGGACCTGGCGCGCGTGACCCTGCCGATGGCCCTGCGCCGGGCCCTGGTGGCGGCCTTCCCCCGGTTCACGGCCTACCAATTGGCCAAGTACGACCGCCGGGCGCCGGAGTCCGGGCGGCTGATGAAGCGCGCCCGGTCGCGGCTGGAGGCCACGGCCGAGACCGGCGAGACCGACGACCAGGAGGACGCGCGGGTGCTGGCGCGCCCGGGCCGCGCGGCCTTCAGCTTCACGCTGCAGTTCCTCATCAAGCTGCTGCACATCGCCGACCCGCCGCTGCATGTGATGAGCCTGCTGGGGGCCCGGTACCCGGGGACCTTCCAGGAGTTTGTGGCGGCCCGGCTGCCGGGGACCTTCGACTCGGCGCAGGCGGGCCAGCGCATGCGCCTGCCGGTGCCGGTCACCTGGCAGACGCAGCTCTCCCGCCGGGGGAACAATGCGGCCGCCTGGCGGGAGCTGATCATCACGCGGAACTTGCCGTTCACCGCGCTGCTGCGCAACCTCAAGACCATCATCCAGAAGACCTACCCGCCGGGCTGGCGCCCGGGCGCCCCGCCGGGCATCAGCCAGCACATCCACGAGCGGGTGATGCAGCGCATTGCCTCGCCGATGTCCGTGCAGTCCGGGCGCCTGCTGCCCTGGGACTACCTGACCACGTACTTCCAATTGCGCGACCTGCAGCTGGAAGCCCTGGCCATGGGGGAGGAGGCCGGGGCCGGGGCCGGGGCCGGGGCCGCCGAGCCGAAGCCCGCCGAGCCGAAGCCCGCCGAGCAGGCCATCGCCCGCCTGGCCGAGCGGTACCTGGCCAGCCTGTCCTGTGCCATCAGCCTGTCGCTGCGGTTGAATATCCCCCCGCTGGCGGGGAATGTGCTGCTGTTCCTGTCGCTGTCGCTGCCGGAGCGCGTGCTGACCAAGGCCGTGGAGCATGAGCGCGGGTTCCAGCATGCGGTGCTCCGGCACCCGGGGCTCAGCTCGCTGATGCTCTTTGCCACGACGCTGCTGCTGTCCTCGCAGGGGGTGGACCTGGTGCTGGCCCTGCCGATGGGCGGCCCGGCGGCCGGGGGCACCTACCAGCCGGTGGTCATGGGCCCGGCCGCGCGGGGGGCCTCCTTCCTGGACCACTTTGGGGCCCTGTGCGAGCAGGTGGCCCGGTGCTACCGGGACCGGGCCGCCGGGGCCGACTCGCTGCCGGGCATCCTGCAGCCGTACATCACCCACCGGCGGGCCCTGTCGCATGTCATTTACATGGACTTGACGCTGGGGAACTTGGACCTGATCGCCTCGCTGCATGCCTTTGCCGCGGACTACCGGCGGATGGTGCAGGAGGCCGGGTCGCGCGAGCGCCTGGTCATGTCCTACATTTCGATCACGTCGCGGGGGCTGGCGGCGCCGGCGCCGGCCGGGCCGGATGGCGGCCCGGCCGAAAGCAGTGCCCTGCGCATGCTCGGGGCGCTGGCCGGCCCCGGCGGCCGGCCGTCCCTGCCGGTGACGGTCACCCACCCGGATGACATCTACCTGTCGGGGGCGAGTGCGCAAATTTTGCGGCACATCGCCGGGCACACGGAGTCCGAGCTGCAGCTGGCCCTGGTGGACAACATCGACACGATTCGCGGGCTGCGGCGTGTGCGTGGTCCCGGGCGCCGGGGCCCGGGGGCCGGGCGCTCCCGTTGGGGGCCGGCCCTGCGCTCGGCCCTGGCGACCGGCGGCCCGCGGTATGGGGCCCGCGCGGAGGTGGTCACCTCGCGCCAGGTGAACAGCGCGGCCTATGCCCTGGGCCGGATGTCGGTGGACCCGGAGCGCAAGCGCGGGCTGCAGCCACTGGCGGCCGATGGCCGGCCGAGGCACAAGCTGCGCCTGGTGGCTCCGGGCCCGGGCCGCGGGCAGCCGGGCTCGCCGGCGGCCGACCCCGGCCCGGGCCATGCGCAGGTCATCCCGATCGCCGAGTCGGAACGGGAGGACCCGCTGGTCGAGGCCGACACCAGTGCCCTGTCCTTCGATCGGCGCACCATCCCGGGCCCGAGCGGCTCGGGCATGGTGTCCGGGGCCGGGCCGGCCTGGCGCACGGTTCGCATCTTCGTGTCGTCCACCTTCGCGGACATGGCCGTCGAGCGGGAGATCATCTCGCGGGCCGTGATGCCGGAGCTGCGGGAGCGCCTGCGCCGGCACCGGATCGAGCTGGTGGATGTGGACCTGCGGTGGGGCGTGCCGCCGGTGTTGCAGTCGGCCGCGGCCACGGCCACCTGCCTGGCCACGGTGGACGCCTGCCGGCCGTACTTTGTCGGTGTGCTGGGCGACCGGCTGGGGCACATCCCCGGGGGCCGGGCGGTGGCCCGGTGCGCGGAGGAGCTGGCGGCCGGGTTCGACCCGAGCGTCGACCCGGCGGCCATGGCCCGGCTGGCCGGCTGGCTGCGTGGCAATGACCCGGCCGCGGCGGAGCTGATGTCGGTGACGGAATTGGAGTGCGAGTATGCGGTGGGCTTGCGGCTGGGCGGGGTGCCGGAGCCGGCGCGCGCGGTGTTTGCCCTGCGGTCGGCCGTGCCGCAGCCGGTGCTGGACCAGCTGCCGGCGGCCGTGCGCGGGGCCTTCCAGCCGGGGGCCTGCTCCATGAGCGAGGTGGCGGCGGCGGCGGCGGCGGCGATTGCCACGACCGCGGCGGCCGGCGGCGGCGGGTTCGACGCGGCCAGCCGCGTGGCGCACTTGCGCTCGGCGGTGGCGCAGGCCGCGGCCGCGGCCCCGGACCGCGTGACCGCCTTCGAGTACAACTTCTCCGATGTGTGGGCCTACTCGGCCAAGACCGGGCAGATGGCGGCCTCGGCGGCGGCGCTGTTCGGGCACTTCCGCCGGGCGCTGGTCGACCGGCTGTGGGAGCTCCTGCGCACGGACCCGGCCCTGGCCGGGCACTTTGACGCGGCCCCGGCCGAGGAGCTGCCGCTGCTGCAGGCGGTGGACGCGCTGGCCGGGGGGGGCGCCATGGAGGCCGCCGCCTCCGAGGGGGCCCTTCACCGGGGGCTCCTGTCGCTGAATGCCCTGGCCGAGGGCGGGCTGTTTGTCAGCCGGCCGGATGCGCATGCCCGGCTGGGGGCCTTTGTGCACTTCCATTCGGCGGCCGAGCAGTCGCAGCCGGTGGCATCCGGCCCTGCGGTGGCTGGCGCGCCGCTGATGCCGCCGATGAATCCCCTCCTGCTGACCGGGCCCTCGGGCAGTGGCAAGACGGCCCTCCTGTCGCACTTGCTGCTGGCCGGGCACCGGGAGGGGTCGCTGCTGCTGGCGGATGAGGACCCCTCGACCGGGGGCCCGGAGCATGGGCCGGCCGACGCCGCGGACCGGCCCTTCGTGTGGACGCACTTTTGCGGGGCCTCCCTGCAGGCGGCCGAGCCGCATCTGATCCTCCGGCGCCTGTCGCAATCGCTGGTCCGGGCCTTCCCGCAGTTCCTGCACGCGGAGGACCTCCGGCAGGTGGCCCTCACCGACACCTATAGCACCCTCGGGGAGAGCGTGCACCTGGTGTCGCGGCAGGTGGAGACCGTGGCCCAGTCCCGGCGGCTGGTCCTGGTGCTGGACGGCCTGGACCATGTGTTCGATGTGCCGGAGGTCGCGGCGCCGGGCGAGGGCGAGGGCGATGCGGGGCCCTCGGCCTCGGCGTCGTCGCCGCCGCCGCCGCCGTCCGGCGGGCTGTCCACCGATTGGCTCCGGTGGGTGGTGGCCCTGAATACGGATCGCGTGCGGGTGGTGATCACCTGCACGGCGCCGGGCCCGGTGCTGAGCCCGTCCATTGTGGGCGGCGCGCCGGCGGCCGCGATCGTGACCGGGCTCGGTGCGGTGGCCGATCGCGGGCGCATGGCCGGCGCCGGGCAGGCGGCCTTCGCCTTCCATGCGCAGGGCCCGGGCCCGGGGGCCGGACCGGGGCAAAGCCCGACGGGTCCGCCGCTCGGCCGGGCGCTGGCGTCCATTTCCCACTGGCATCCGGTCTTCTCGCAGCGGCACTTGGAGACCAGCCGGTCGCTGGTCCTCGGCGGGGCCGGGGGCGCGGCCTCGGCCGGGCCTGCCGGCGGCAACCCCAGCGCCTCGATGTCCGCGTCGCAGGTGAGCCAGATGATCGGCGAGCTGCAGCGGGCCACCGACCTGACCAGTGTCCTGCTGGCCGGGGCGGTGCTCTTCGTCGGGGAGCTGGCGCCGGCCGAGCGGGCGGACTTCGTGGCCCGGCGCTTGGGGCGCTTCTACAAGCGCCTGGGGCCGGGCGATGCCGGGGCCGAGCCGTCGGACCTGGACCTGCTGGTGGCCAAGCCCGGTGCCGGGTCGCCGCTGTTCCTGGCGCTGGCGTGCGATGAGCTCCTCCAGCGGGGGTCCTTCTCGTTTTTGGATGCGGCCGGCGGGGCCGGGCCGGGTGCCCTGGTGGCGGCCCGGCGGGCGGGCATCGCCCAGGCGGACCTGCCCGGGCGCCTGACGGCCGTGGTCCGGTCCATGCCGGAGGCCGGCCTGTGGCAGCTGGTGGATTGGGCCCTGCGCCGGGCCGAGGCCAGCATGCGCGACTCGCTGGCCGGGCTGGCCGGGCCCTCGGACGGGGCGGCCGCCGGGTCGCTGGGCGAGCAGCTGCTCGGGCTGGCGATCAGCCTGCTGTGCGTGTCCCCCGGGGGGGTGTACGAGTCGGAGATGCTGGCCCTGCTGGGCGGGGCCTTCCCGGGGCTGTGCCAGCGCGCGGGGGCGCTGCTGCTGCCGGTGCCGGCGGGTGCCGGCGTCGGCGTCGGCGGCGTCGGCGGCGCCAGCGCCACCGGCCGGCTGCCGTACGCCGTGTGGTCGATGCTGTCGTCGACCCTGCGCGGGCTGTTTGTGCGGGTGGTCGATGGGCCGGACCCGCTGTTCCAGCTGTCCTTCGCGCCGGTCACCGTGGTGCATGTGCTGGCGCAGCGGTACATGCCGCGGGAGCGCCAGCGCCGCGCGGCCCACCGGCTGCTGGGCGGGCACTTCCTCCGGCGGGCCTTGGCCACGGTGGATGCCTTCGATGTGCCGGGGGCGGCGCTGGATGCGCGGGCCTTGCGCCTGGCGCTGCCGCATCTGACCGCGGCCGGGGCCCATGCCGGGGCCTGGCGCCTGCTCGGGGATGCCGGGTTCTTTGCATGTGCCACCGTGGCCCGGCTGCTGCCCTTCCTGCTGGTGCAGTATGCGGCCGGGGTCCGGCGGGTGGAGGCCGGGCTCGGGCCCGGGCAGCCGACTTCCTATGCGGCCCGGCTGCCGGTGCTGTATGGGGCGGTGGTGCGGCCCTTTGTGCCGGCTCTGCTGGCCGAACCGGGGCTGGTGTTCCAGCTGTGTCTGTCGAATTTGCCGCGGTCGGCCTGGTCCGCGGGCTTTGGCCGGCTGATTGGCCGGCTGCGCGCTGGCCGGGCGTGGTTCGCGCCGCGCGCCCTGGCGGAGGCCGACCGGGCGGCCCCGGCGGCGGCCCGCGGCGGCCGGCCGCTGGTTCTGTCCTCGAGCCCGGCGTCGGTGACGTGCTCGGCGGTCTGGCCGCCGGCCACCGGGGATCCGCAGTTCCCGGTGGCGCTCGCCTCGGCGCCGGGGCATGATGCGGGGGCTCCCTCGTCGGCGGCGGCGCAGCTGCTGGCCGCGAGCGCGGCCCCGGGCGCCGCGCGCATCAGCATCCTCTGCTACAGCGATGTACGTGCCTGGCGCCGGGTCCGGGCGCCTGCGTGTGTGTGTGGGATGTCCTTCTTTTTTTTTTTTCCCTGGCCTTGTTGTACTGACTGCTCCCCACCTCGCGCGATGGCCACCGCCGGGCGCAGCTCTCCATCGAGATCCTCTGCCTGGAGACCGGGCTGACGCTGTCGCGCTTCCGGCTGATGGGGTCCGGCACGCTGGCCCCCTCGGCGGTGTGCGTCCTGCCGCTGGGGGCCTTCCGGTCGCTGGTGGTGGCCTCCAGCCTGGCCAACTCGTCGATGGCGGCGGCGGCGGCGGCCGGCGGCGCCTCCAAGCTCGGGTCCCTGGCATCGCTGACCTCGTCGGCCATGCAGGCGGCCATGGGCCGGCACTTTGAGGGTGTCGTCCTGGCCGTCGGCACCAAGGACGGCTCGGTGTCGCTGGTGTATGCGCCGGTGCCGGAGCACGTGCTGTCCGGGCCCCGGGGCGGCGGGGAGGCCCTGCACCGGGGCGGTGTTCTCCGACGCGGGTCCGGGCCCGGCGGCTCCCTGTCCGGGGCCCACTCGGCCGGCAGCCCGAGCAACACCTTCGACTGCCGGCTGCTGAGCGCCTTCCAGGCCCACTCGCTGGCGGTCAGCGGGCTGCTGCTGCATGCGGATGGCCCGACTGGGGATGGGCCCGGTGCGGGGCTCCTGACGGCCGGCCTCGATGGGCGGCTGTTCCATTGGCCCCTGGCGGACCTGTGTGCCGGGGCCTTGCAGCATTTGTCGCGGTCGCTGCTTGGGGGCCGGGCCGACGGGGCGCGCGGCGATGATGATGACGCCGGGGCGGCGGCCGGCGGCGGGGACGACGCCCCGACGGCCGCGGCCGCCGCCACGGTGTGGACCCCCTCCGGGCCGCCGCCACGGTCGCTGCTCCAGGTGGCCGACAACAACCTCCCGCCGCCGGTGAGCTGCATGGTCCCGCTGCGGCGGTCGCCCGGGGCCCTGGTCGGCACCTGGGGCTCGCTGCACTTCCTGGACCTGCGCACGATGGTACGCCCTTTTTGCTGCCTTCGCTTCCTGCTTGGCTCGCCTTCTCTGCTCAGCTCGCTTTGTCTGCTCAGCTCGCTTTGTCTGCTCAGCTCGCTTTGTCTGCTCAGCTCGCCCTCTCTGCTCAGCTCGCTTGTTCGATCGCTCCCTGCTGACCACTTCCCCCATCGTGCCTGTGCTGGCCCGACACCCGTGCGCAGACTTCCACCTGGTCCGTGAGCTTCCGCAAGGCGGTCCTCTCGGTGGCCCTGCACCCGTCGGAGTTGTACTTCCTGGCGGTGCATGCGGATGGCAGCGTGTCGCTGTTTTCCCGGCTGCCCGGGGCCCCTCGCTGGTCGTTCCTGTCGCGGGACTTCGAGAAGACCGTGTACCGGGCCTTGTGCTTCAGCTCGACCGTGCCGCTGAGCCCGATTGCCGGGGCGCGGTTCTGCGCCTGGGGCAGCCTGGCCTTTGCCCTGCGTGACGGGTCGCTTCTCCGCGTGCCCGGGCTGAGCACCATGGCCGGGGTGTCGCTGCGGGGTGCGCCGGCGCCGACCGGCGGCCGGCGGGCATCCCTCGGGTCCGGCCGGATGGTGTACAGCCGCGGCGGCGGGGCCGTGATGCCGGGCGGCGTGTCTGGCGGCAGCACGGATCCCGGGGTCTTCCGGGACTTTGCGGCGCCGTCGTTGCCGATCCCCGGGCCCCTGGGCACGGTGGAGTTCGCCACGTCGCTCAAGTCCCCGGCGACGGTGCTCTTGCGACTGGATGTCGAGCAGCCCGGCGACAGTGGCGGCTTCTCCTCCTCCTCCTCCTCCTCCTCCTCCTCCTCGAGGCCGGTGCTGGTGGCCGGCACCCGGGCCGGGACGCTCTACCTTGTCCGGGCCACCGAGGAGGGCGGCTGGCACAGCAGTCGCCTGAGCCATGAGAGCCCGCTCGGGGAAACGGCCAACATCTTCATGAACCAGATGGCGGCCAATGAGCTGGAGCCGGGGCAGGCGCCGCGTGACGCGGCCAGCGCGGCGTCCGGCGTGACGGACCCGATGACCGGCGGGTCGGTGGCGCCCCTGCGCGGGGCCGTGGTCGGGCTGCATGCGCTGACGCCCGGGGCCGCCGGGCAGCTGATGCAGCCCAACGCGCGCCGGGCCAAGGACCCGGAGCCGGTGCCGACGCTGCACTTCTTCCTGGCGGTCCTGGCCAATGGCCTGCTGGAGGTGTGGGCCGTGGACTCGGGCCAGGGGCTGGGGTTCTGCGCGGTTCGGCGCTTTGTCAGCATCCCCGGCAAGACGCATGCCAGCCGGGAGGCCGTGGCCTCGGCCTTCATCGAGACCGGGCTGGAGGTGGTGGCCTCGGCCGGGGCCGGCACCATGGCCTCGGCCGTGGGGGACCCGAATGTCCCGGTGCTGGCGCTGGTCCTGAGCGATGGGTCGGCCGCGGTGTTTGGCCATGCGCCGCGGCCGGCGGTGTCGCGCTCCTGCAAGTGCATTGACCAGTTGCACTTTTACAGCCCGGTGGCGCCGGCCGGGCCGGAGCTCCAGGTGGACTTCGTGCCGGAGCATGGGCGCTACATGGCGGTGGCCCTGTGCCCGGTGCGGCGGGTCCTGGCGCTGGGGACCACCGGCGGGGTGTGCACCCTGCTGCCGGTGGACCGGGGCCTGAAGGCGACGCGGCACAATTTCGCCTCCTGGGTCCGGCATGTGCCGGTGTCGGATTCGTCGCTGGCCGGGGTGGCCCTGCTGGCGGCCGGGCCGGGCGCCCGGCCCGGGCGCCCGGCCGACGCGGCCCTGGTCACGGTGGACATGGCCGGGAGCCTGTACGACGGGTCGCATGAGCGAACCCTGTCGCTGGGTGCCCTGGCCGAGGCGCATCTGCCGGTCGGCATGGGGACGGCCGGCGCCGGTGGCGGCCGGTCCGGCGGCACAGCCGCCGGTGCCGGGCCGCTGGGCCAGTGCCTGGCGTCGCGTAGCGATGGCGATGCGCCGGTGCTGCATCTGGCCGTGGGCCACCGGCTGGTGGCCCACGGGTCGGCGGTGCAGGTCCTGTCGTCGGAGCTGTCGCCGCTGACGATGCTGCCGGCGCCGGGCGGGGCGGCGGCCGGGCGCGTGTGTGCCCTGGCCGATGCGCTGGGCACCGCCGAGGGCAGCCTCATGCCCGGGGGCCTGGTGTTCGTCGGGACCGAGGGCGATGGCGCCCTGCGGGTGTGGCGGCCATTTGCCATGCCGTCGTTGGAAATGGCGCAGGCGGCGGTGGCGCGCCAGGCGGGCGGATCGTCGTCGTCGGCCGTGCCGCTGAAGGCCCGGCTGCACACGGGGCCGATTGTGGCGATCCACTCGCCGACCGGGGCCCTGGGGGCCTTCCTGACCACGGGCGTCGATGGGCGGTCGGTGTTTTGGGGCCCGGTGCCGAATGGCCCGGCCACGGCGGCGGCCGCGGCGGCGGGCGGCCTGCCGCCGGTCGAGACGGCGGCCCTTCTCGGGCCATCGGCCGAGGCCCCCCGGGCCGGGGCCAGCCCGAAGTCGCTGCCCGGGTCGAGCGCGGCCCTTGGCCACTCGGTGCTGTGCTCGGCCACGGTGGCGCACCGGGCGCGTGCGATGCCTGTCATGGCCTGCCGGCAGTCGGGCTGCTGGCAGGCGAGCCCGTATCACCACCTGCCAGCTGGCGGGTTCCTGGTGGAGGAGCATGCCACGGTGTCGGCCTTCGCGGATCCCTACCTGCCGGTGGACCGGTGCCTGGGCGGGGTGGTCCGGTGGACGGTGCGCGATGCCGGGACCGGGGCCGTGCTGGCCCGGCGCCTCCGGCGGGTTGGCCAGCCAGCGGACCTGGACACGGCCAAGCTCTTCTCGTTCCGGGCGCTGGCCGGCGAGGAGCTGTTGCCGGCCCTGTCGGGGGCGGTGACCGCGCCGGCGCCGGAGGGCGGCCTGGGCCCGGTGCAGGCGATGGTCGCCCTGCCGGGGCAGTCCTTCGCCTCGGCCGGGTGCCCCGCCTGCCAGCCGTCGTACAGCCTGGTGTTGACCTCGCACGCGAGCCGTCACCTGGCCCTGTGGGCCCTGGTGCACGGGTCGCCCGGGGACCTGGAGACCGAGGAGTCGGACCCGGGCACCGGCGACGGGCCGCGGTGGGTCCTGCTGCAGATGCTGGAGCATGGCGATGCCATGGTGACGGCCCTGTGCCCGGTGGACCTGCCGGTGGCCATGGGCGGCGGCCTGCCGGTGGCGCTGGCCTGCTCGGGCAGCCGCCTGCACCTGGTGTACCTGGACTCGACGCACACCCGGGCCCTGGATGTGCTGGGATCGCGCGAGACGCGGGCCATCGAGCGGGCCAACCAGCACCGGCTGTGGCTGCAGTCGAGCCGGCCGCTGGGCGATGGCGGGTCGGCCGATGGGCCGCCGGGCGGCTCGCTGGGGGCCGCCCTGCCGGCCAGCACGCGGTATGGCCAGCGGCCGGTCCGCGCGGCGGCCCTGCTGGCCCATGCCGGCGGGGTGGGCCTTGTCTATGCGGCGGTGGTCTTTTCCTCGGGGTCGGCGGTGCTGTTTGCGATGCGGCCGGCGGCCGAGGTGCCGGGCGCCTGGGCCCCGGCGGCCGAGGCGGCCGACAAGCACTTCGGGCTCTGGGTGCAGGAGGTGGCCCTGCTGGACCGGTGCCTGGTGCCGGGGGATGTCCGCCGGTATGGGTTCTCGGCGCAGGTGCACTCGGTGGCCCTGACGCTGGGGGACCACCGGCCGGACTCGGTGTCGGCGCTGATGCCGCCGAGTGTGGTGCTCGGCACGGCGGCCGGGCGGGTGGCCCTTTTGCGGCCGTCGGCCCGGCTGCCGCCGCTGCTGCTGGGCCCTGGGCTGGGTGGCCGGCTGCATGAGCAGCTGACCGGGCGGCTGACCCCCGGTCGCCCGGTGTACCAGCTGGCGGCCGTGTGGCGGCCGCACGATGGCGCGGCCCTGGTCCAAGGGGTGGCTGTCATTCGGCCGGAGGCGCTGCTGGCGGCCGGGCGCGTGGTGCCCGGGTCGGTGGCCGACACGCCGCTCGGCCCGGGCGCGGCGGCCTCCAGCGCGGCGGCCTCGTCGGCGGTGGCCCGCATCGCCGGGCAGCTGGCCCCGCCGTTGGAGCCGGCGGCCGGGGTGGTGGCCTTCCTGGCCGAGACCGCCGCGGCCGACGGTGGCAATGGCACCTGGTCGGCGGACGAGCATCGGGACCTGTCGCGCGAGGCCGGGCGCCGGTGCTGGGAGAAGGCCGTCTTCCTGGGCGGGGTGTCGCTGTCCGAGCACTACACCCAGCTGCCGGCGGCGGCGGCGGCGGCGGGTCCCCCCTCGGTGGGGGGCGTGCCGTCCCCCGCGAGCAGCACCAACAGCCAGCACTCGCTGTACCTGGGCCGGCTGAGCGAAGCCAACATCCCGCGGGGGTTCCTGCCGCCGGTGCTGGGGTCGGCCCTGCTGGTGACCGCCGGGTCCGATGGGTTTGTGCGGGTGTCGCGGGTGGTTGATCCGCTGCACGCGGCGGCGGCGGCGGCGGCCACCGACGATCCCCTGGGCCTGATGCCGCGGCTGGAGCCGGTGGGCATGTTTGCCAGCTCGCGCCTGGCCCCGGTGGTCCACCTGTCGGTGGACCAGGTGACCCTGCTGAGCTCGAACCTCGGCGCGGCGGCGGCGGCGGCGGCGGCGGAAGCTGGCGATGCCGCCCTGCTGCCGGCCCCGGGGTCGGTGCTGCTGAACCTGACCGCCTCGGATTCGCTGGGGGCCGTGCGCATGCTGGACTGCATCGCCGCCCCGCCGAAGCATGTGGCGGCCTGAGGAGGCGAGTGTCCGCGCGATCTGCCAATACAGCTTTTGATTGACTGCCTGTGGGTTGTGTTGATGCAGGTGTGATGTGGTCCGGGTTGGGGCGGGGGAGGGGGACAAGGGACAGAGAAACACGGAGAAAGAGGGAGAGAGAAATAAAAGAGATAGGGGCACGGGGGAGGAAGGTCAGGGGGTGATGCAAAATATTTAAAAGAGAAGGTCGAGCCGAGAATCGAACTCGGATTGACAGATTCAGAGTCTGCCGTGATAACCATTACACCACTCAACCGTCTTGTTCTAGGGCCACGAAAGAATGGCGGAAATTCTCTCCTCTCTGCCCAGTGACCGCCCTGGGCACAGGGCGGCAGCCCGGGGGGCGTGGCGTGGCTCGGGGGCGTGGCGTATGACCGGGGCCGGTGTCGGCGGAGAGGCGCGACCCGGTGCTCGGCAGGGGGGGGGAGGAATCGATCGCCGATGGCCTAAGCGGGACGACGGCGTGCCCGCTTGGGGCGTGGGGATAGTCCTGTTGGCGGCAGATGTACGCCGAACAGGGCAGGGCAGCTGGCCTGCGGTGGCCCCACGCGTGGCGGTGCAGGTCGAGCGCCCGGCCGAACGTATTCACAGGGCCGGGGCTGCAGAGCAGCTGCGGCGGAGAGGGTGACCCTCGGGAACGTCCCCAGGCCGTGGGATGACAGCCACCGCCTGCGAGTGGGTCCAGGCCGGGACGCATGTATCGAGGAGATCCCACTGGGCGGTGGTCGGCGGAGGGGACCGGCGACTGGGGCGCGACAACTTCCGCGGTGGAGACAGCGGCCGGGCGGGGGAGGGCCGCATGGAGAGGGAGCTGCACCGCGCCGGCCGCGGGCCAGGCTGCGGAGGGGGCTCAACTGGACCCGGAGCCGGGAGACGGCGCCAGAAACAGGCCACATGGCTTTTTGTGTCCTCCTGGAGGGACCCCCTCCAGGCGTCGATGGTTTAGTGGTAGAATTGCCGCCTGCCACGCGGTAGACCCGGGTTCGATTCCCGGTCGACGCAGTCTCTCCTTTTTGCCCTCCGCCCTGACGAGGCAGGAGAGTGGCAACTTCCGCCGCCGGGGGGGGGGGAGGAGGACCGGGCGAGGGGCGGGCGGCCCGCCGTCGGAAGGAGGAGGGGGCTGCGGTCCATGAGGGAGAGAGGGGTGCGCCTGTCTCCGGCCGACGAGGCGCTTCAAACCGGAGCGACAGAGGAGCACGAGAGAGAGGCACGCACGCGCGCAGAGCACCGTCCGGGGTTCTTGACTGGCACGCCGGAGTGCGGGTCCGCGCGGCCGGCAGGAGGGGGGCGCACCAGGAGACACGGGACACCGGCCGCGCCCCGTCGCATGTTTGGGGGCCCTTCTGATTGTTTGATTGTCTTTGCGCCGCCGGCCTGCCAGACCAGGCCCGCTTGGTTGGGCCGGCAGAAGGGGGCGCGCGAGGGGGCCACGAAGCGCGTGAGCCGAGAGAGGAAAAGGAAATGCTCGCCGCGGGCCAAAAGAAATGCTCATTGGGTGGATCGAACACCCGACCTCCAGTTTACTAGACTGGCGCTCTACCACTGAGCTAAACGAGCAGCGGTGTTGAAGGGGGCAGCTCGGGAGCCATTTGTTGGGTACGACTGAGGCGGGTGGGGGGCGGCCGTGCATCGCCCCCGGCTCCGGGGGTAATGGGGGAAGAAAATCAGCCCCCCCGGAAGGGTGGATGATGAGGCTGGCGGGGCGGGCACGGCCTGGCCTCGCGACACGGAGGCACCAGCCGCGGGGCGGCTCGATGGGGGCCGGCGCCAGGCTCCGCGGTAAATCCCCCTTGGCCGGGCGACCGAGCACCAGACACATGGGCAGGCCAGGTGCAAACAAACATGTACCACCCGTGGCCCGTTCATCCTCATATCACCGTGTCCGAGTGGTTAAGGAGTCCGATTAGAAATCGGATGGGCTCTGCCCGCGTAGGTTCAAATCCTGCCGGTGATGCATCTTCCTTTTGTTTGTTTTTGCCGGCGAAATGTCGCCCTCCCGCGCGCCCGCAGGGCCATCCAAAATAATGTGCCCGGGAGAGGGGCACGCCTCCAGCCAGCGGACCCGGCCACCGGCGTATTGTGCCCCTCTGCCTGCTCGCGGCTGGCAGCCGGGGGGGGAAAACAATGCCGCGCGTCGGTGCGGCAAAAGGAAGTGGCCCCAGCCAGGATCGAACTGACGACCTTCGCGTTATTAGCACGACGCTCTAACCAACTGAGCTATGGGGCCTCCGGTTAGACTGTATGGGAGGCGCCGGACTTTTATAGGTTGCCCGCCGAGAGCAACCGCGCCTGGCACGCCGCCTGGTGTGTGCCCCGCTTGCCTGCTCGCCGGTGCTCTGCTCGATCTGGGCGGCGGCCTCTCGGCGGAGATTCGCCCAGGCCCGCGCCTGGCTGGCGCATTTGGCGCACTTGGGCCGCCCTCTCCACCGATGTGCACAAAAGTGTGTCCACATCTCCTGGCATCGTGCCAAGGGGCGAAAGTCGTCCATGCCCGGCGCAGGACCCTGCCTCGTCTCGTCCGGCTGGGAAGGGGGCCACCACCTGAGGGATGCCTGTCCCGGAGCGTGGCCCGGGCCACGGCCCTTGCCTGGACGCCGACATGCCTCCCCCGTGGGCGCTTTCATATGGTGCCGTGGCGCCTCGAGTGCTTGGCTCGGCGAGATGGCGTGCCAGGGTCGAGAAGGGCCTCGCCGTGGCCGCTGGCCCCTGCGGAGCAAGACCGCCCCCGCCGACGAGCGGGGCAACCACGACGCCGGGCCATGCATGCGGGCCGCCGGGCGATCCAGCCGGCAGGGGAACGTGTCCGCTGGCTCGGGCGGGCCGGCTGTCCCTCAGCAGGGGCCCCCGGCAGGATGTGCCATCGCCCGGGGGGCCGGTATGCCTGCGCGAAGGCCCCGCCCCGGGGCCGGCTTGAGCCAGGCTGACGTCTGTGCTTCACGAATGAAACCGCGGTGCGGGCTTGCTGTCAGGCGCCACGGCGAGGGGAGCCGGCCCGGGTGGGGCCCTCCTGGGGCGGCGTGTTTGCGGAGACCGGGCCCCCATGCTCGGGGGCGCAGACCTGCACCAGGGGCTCCGGTGCGCCGAGGCGACCCGCCGTGCTGCGTCCCCCGGCCCCGGGCCCGGCGCCCGAGCCGGTGGCGGGTCTCTCGGGAGGACAGCGGCCTCGGCGTCACCCACGAGCAGGGCACATACGCCGCCGGCGGATCGCGCCGGGATGCCTGCCCGGTGGGGACGTGAGTGTGGGGGCTTCTTCGGCCCGGGCAGCAGCGGGGACATGGGTGGGGATGCGTGCCGGGGGGGGGGGGGGGGGGGGGGGTCGGCCGGTCGGCGCGGGCCCGGCCACCCGGCGACATCGGCACAAAGCGCACAGCGAGATGTAGCCTCGCGGAGGGCCGACATGCATGGCCGTGTAGCTCAATTGGATAGAGCACCTGACTACGGATCAGGAGGTTGTGTGTTCGAGCCGCATCATGGTCAGCTTCCATTTTGCTCGCTCGGCGATCAAAAGGACGGCCCCGGTCCAAAAGAATTCCCATACCGGGACTCGAACCCGGGTCTCGTGGGTGAGAGCCACGTATCCTAACCACCTAGACTATATGGGAGAAGATGAAGGGCTTCCGCTGGGTGGCCAATATGTGTAACCTTTGCCGCCCAAATCCCAGAATTGGTCACGGGTTGTCACGTGACCACATCTGAGAAGTCGGATCCCCGGCTCTCCTCTCCTCTTGGGGAGAGCCGCGCCTCCGTGTACAGACCTTCGCCCCGCCCTGCCGCCTCCTCCCTCGGCGCCAGGGAAGAGGGGCAAGGTGCTCCTTCTCCCATGTGCCTAACCCCTATATAAGGGACGGCATCCGCGCCCTCTTTCCCATGTACGACTACCCTAGAAAGGATAGTCATTGCCTCCTTGGCCTGGCTTTCTCCCCCCCAAGCCAGTAGTCTCTGATGTAAATACTTTTTGACTGGAGTTCAGACGTGATGTCTTCCGACCCTAGAAAGGATAGTCATTGCCTCCTTGGCCTGGCTTTCTCCCCCCCAAGCCAGTAGTCTCTGATGTAAATACTTTTGCTTCCCCCAACAAGACCGCGCGCGCTTTATTGTCATCGCTTGCCTTCTTGTACCTCTCGAGACGAAATGCTTTCTTCCGAGGCGTGATCTCCATATCGGAGAACAAGCCTCGGTGAATCAGTCCGAGCGTTTCAATATGACACCCCGCTGTGGTCTCCGCCACCGGCAACCCGACGGCCGAGAAACAGACGCCCGAACGAGCACGCCACGGCCGCCGGATGCCGGTGGTTGGCGCCCAGCGGGCGAGGATGCCCGGGAAATGGCCCACGCTCGGTGCCGAGCACGCACTCGCGCCGCCTGTGCGTCGGGTCACATTCCCGTGCGGATCGAGTGGCCGACACGCCGGCTGTGGCCCCCTCGCGAGAGGCGAGGCCCTATCCCACCAGGCACCGGGCATGCGGGCCCTGTCGCAGGGAGCGGGTGCCGGCATGTCGGTGACATGTCTTCGCGCACGAAGGCGGGCCGAAAGAAGCGGCGCATCGGCCGGCCCTCGGGCCGCCGAGCCGGACGCCCGGAGTCCAGCGGGTCCCCGGCAGGCCAGCACCAGGGCCCGCGAGAGACCCGCATGCCGCGGGACATGGGGACACCACTGGGCATGCCCGGTGCCGGCCTGCCGGGGATCCGCTGTACTCCGGGCGGTCGGGTGCATGACCGAGTGCCAAGTCCCCCGGGCATGTGTCACGGCGAGAGCGGGAATGGCAACGGTGATGGCGCTCCAGGCGCCGTGGAGTGGGCGGATCGCCGGTCCCGGTCCGAATTCGAGGTCCAGCGGCGGCGGGGGAGGGGGTGCCGCGTGCTTCGGGGCCACACGACGCCCGAGGGACGTCTCTCCAGGGAGAGGGCCCGGCCTGCCCGGTCGGCCGGGGCTTTGGCGAATCTGCGACCACCGCCAGCAAGGGCGTGCCCCTGTGCAGGCACAAGCGAACCAGGCTCCGGTCAATCGGCAGTCGCATCCCGATCCATGCTCGGAGCTCTTCATGCCGGGGCCACCCGGCGATGGGGCCGTGCCTGGCCTCGGCGGCGGACCACTGCACACTGCAGGCGCGAGGGGGACCCTGAGTTCGAGGGACTGAGTCATCCTCTGTGTTCCCAGTGCAGGAGCCGCCGCCGGCCTCTCAGCGAGGACGAACCGAGGGGGCGCCATGTGCCACGGGGCGCGGCGCTGGCCTCCAAGATGGGGCGGAGCCCCGGGCCTGGCCGGGCGCCACGGCACACGGGGCAGTCTCCGCGCGGAAGTCGATGTCCACGGTGCCTGGCCGGGCCTCGGGCCGTCGCTGCCTCGGGTTTCATCGCACGAGCGTCCGGGCACTCCTGGCCGTGCATCGCCGCCGGGGTGCTCGTCGAAATGTCGGCCCCGCACGGCCCGGGCCGGTGGCTCCGGTTGGGCCGTCGATCGGCGGCCACCAGGCTCCAAGGGCCGAGGACCACACCTGACGAGGGGAGGGGCCTCTCCTGCCCGGGCGTCCTCGGTGCGAGTGGCCCGGCTTCCGGCCTACGATCCTCCGGCTTCCCGGCCGAGGGCATTTGCCCAAAATGCGAGCACCGCGCAGTGGGCACCGGCAAGCACCCGATGCCCAACACACTAGGAGCAAGAGATATGCTCCAGGGACCGGCCATGCGGCATGCAACATTCGGAATGAGGCCGGCCCGGCCGCTGCTCGGGAAGGGGCGCCCCGGGTCGCAAGGGCAGGCAACAGGCAGGCACCTCCTGGCGGTCTGTGAGACAGCGGCGCGAGGCCACAAGCGGGGATCGCTCGACGTGGGGGCCCCGGCGCCGGCGGCCCCTGTCACCGAGCGCATGACGGCCTGAGACCGGGAACGGCGGACTTGGCCCCGAGTCCGACCCAAGGTGTAACTGAATGCGGGGCCTATAAGCGGGGACCAGTTAAGGGTCATGTTTTGGGCGGCCCGCGTGCCGGCCTGCCGAGGATAGTGTCTCAGTGGCGATCGTCCGTAGAGTTGGCATCGTGCACTTATCGCTCTTTTCCTGAACGTTGGCACTATGCGCTCGTCTAGAACTGCGTCTCTTACCCGGAATGATGACGCCCGGGTTCTGTGGCCCCACCGCGGGGCTGCTTTGTCGGAATGTGCATCACATGCGCATGCTCGGCGAACAGACGAGATGCCTTGGCCTTGGCAGCGAGTGAGACCGGGCCAGACCATGCCTTTTGTTTGTTGTTGTTGTTTTCTTTTCCCCCTCCATGGGCCTCGAGGGCCGAGCGATCTCCAGGTGGGAAGGGCCTCTCCGGGGGGGGGGGGGGGGGGCCGCCCCGCGCCTCCCGCCCCGGCGCCTGGGACCGGGCTTGTCCGGGTGTGGGTGTGCACTTGGCCACCCCCTGAATGGGGGCCGGCTCCCCTGCTGAGGCATCGTGGGAAGGAAACATGAAGCCCCTATGCGCAGGGACCGGGCGTGTTGTTGCACGGGGCTACCCCGCGCCCGGCAAGGGCAAACACTGCCGGATGAGGGGTATGCCTGTGGCCGAGGCCAGGTGGGGGAGCGGGGCGTCGGCCCGGTCGATGGAGTGATGCGGCTCCTTGTGGCTGGGGGTGCGAGGTGCCGAGCGCGGTGGGCACATGCTGCCTCGCCCCTCGTCCCCTCCACAAGGTGAGAGGTGGTCCACAGGGGGGACGGCGAGGCGGGTACCCTTTCGGGGGGAGACGAGAGGAACTGTGGTTATCCCATGCGAAAGGAGGAGCATGCGAGTCGTGGACCCACAAAGGACGCCCTTCCGCCCGCATGCTCGCACACCACAGGGGGCCGCTGGGGCCCGAGTGCCCTCATCAACATGGGCACCCGCACGGGCCCTGCGACAGGTCCGGGGGGGGCCGCGAGGGGGTGGGCGCCGCGCAACAGGCCCGGCCATCGGCCCTGGCGTCGAGGTGTGGAACTTCACCCCGCCATCGCGGCGCTCGCGCACGACCACATCCATGGGAGGGGCACCGAGGCGGAAGGAGGAGGGATGTGCATATGACAACACCTAATGCCGATCATCCGCCCCCTCCCTCCCGGCACGTGGCCGCGAAAGAGACCGGGTCAAATGGAGTAAGATGGCCGACCAACACACACACATACATACACATACACACATGTACACACATACATGCACAATGGGCAGGAGGATGGCGTTCGGTGGGAGGGAGGAGGGGTCCGGAGGGACTTGGCTTTGGGCCGCCCCTCCGGCGTTGTGGTCTATTCCGGAGGCCTTACCTGCGAACTATGAGCTGCAGGACTCCTCCTAGGAGCCCCGTGCGCCTGCCCCGTGCGACCATAATCGAGCAGCCACCGGCGTGGTGCTTTGGGCCATTTCCTCGAATTGACTCTGTGGGCTGCAGTCCTGCCTGATTGGGCTGCAGTAGAGGGAGTCCTTCGAGCTGATGGCATCTCTTGTGGGGTTTTTTTCCCGTTGTTGTTGTTGTTGTTTTCTCCATTCACCTTCTTGTCCGGAGCTGGAGGAGACAGGTCGGGGGCCCTCTTGCTGTTGAGGGCCCGCGAGGGAGGGGAGGGCACCGCCGGCCATATGGGAGAGGAGTCCCGACGCGAGCTCGCGTTGTACGGATCCATGTCAGGCAACTGGACACCGGGCCTGCCGGGGGAGGGCCACGCTTGGTCGCGAGAGCACAGCCGTGATCTTCGAGCGGCCATGGCCCAGGAAGGCGACACAGCGCTGATGTGGTCCAGATACGTTGGGTTTTGTCGCCTTCGAAACGCGAGGCGTGGCAGCCCCCTCGTGCATGACCCCGGCGCACGGCAGCCCACATGCCCGCCCTGTGTGCGGGGCAATCCCAGCCGAGCGCCAAGAGGTGGTCGTTTTTTCCAGACAGGCCCTGGCCTTGCCCATGCCATCCTCCGCCGGGGAAGGGGGCGCGGCCACGCCGGAGCCCAACTCGGTCACACTCAACCAGCCCATAGCCAGAGAAACAGACCGCGCCCATGTCGACGGTGTGGCAGACAGTGTCTACGCGAGGGGGCATGTCGCACAAGGCACGCTCACACCCCAGTGGACATGCTGATCCAGGGTGGGCAAGGAGGGACGCCGGGTGGAGAGCTTCCACTGGATGGCGGCCCCTCCTGCGAGGGACATTATACCTGCCGGGCTGCCTGTCGGGTGTGTGTCGACTGGGTCGCTCGACACGACCTCGGGGCACTCGGGGCAGGGCCGCTGTCCGTCATTGCTCGGAAGCGTGGGGATCAGCTGTCCGGCCGCTTGCGGTGGTTGTACCCTTCCCTCCGATGCCAGGCCATTCATGGAGCCATCGATCCACACGGGAGCATGGATGGGAGGACGACGGAAGCCACGGGCAGGCGGACACTTGGGCCGGCAAGGGGGGTTTATAAGGAGCCGGTGTGTCCCGCACCCATCGGAACATCGCCATAGAAGCGCATTCCCCCTCGGCCGGTCGAACATCCTCCCCTTCGAAAGCACCTGCCCTTTCCCCCTTCGCCTGAGCAGCCGCCGTTCGCTCCCTCCCTCTCTCCACACGCCGTTGCCCCCATGAGTACGTGGATGCCACTTCGGCCTCTCTTCGCCGGGATGCCGGTCCCTAGCAGCTCCACCGATGATGTATTTTCATTTTAACGTGCCCGCCCTCGGCCGATGGCATCGCTCGGCTACGGCCGCGCACCGCACAGGCGATTACGTCTACCTTACACTCCCCAAGGACGCCACCGAGCAAGATGTCAAGGACCAGGTGGAGGAGCTTGCTCGAATGATCCAGGGCACCAAACACGAGATCAAACGCTCCGCCAGTGCGCCTTTGCTATGATTTGACACCCTGTTGCCTTGTTTGTCTTTCGATGGCTGTTCTTTTTCGAACCACTCACCGCCGACATTTCCCTCGGCTCGTGGACGCTCTTTGGGTGCGCACTGCGATCGTGTGCCAACGGTGTCCTGAACGCGCGGACACGTTTGCCTCCTCCTCTGTGGCCGGTGTTGCCTCGCGATACCCGACTCAGACAAGAAGGCGGCAAAGTATCCCGCTACCAAGCTCGATCCTGAGGGTGCGTTGCCAGTCATCGACGGGTGGAAGCAGCATGGCCAGTTAAATTTGGGCTGGCACCATGTCGAGGGTTACTAATCAGAGCACAACTGGTGTTGCCTTTCCGTCCGTCAGATTATGTCTTCGTATGCCCTCGCTCCGGGAATAACAGCGCTAAAGGGAGCATGGATGCTCCCTTGAAGGATACGACATGCGCTGAGGAGCGCTTCTCGGTGCGTTGAGTCGGCCTGCTGGGGAGGCGCTTCAACAATGCATTCTTCCAAGTGGGGCTGCGCTCACAGAGGAATGCCCCTTCGGGCATGGCGGACTTTTGGGGAATGAGCATGTCTATTTCTACTGACCATAGCATTTCTCTCTCTCTCTCTCTCTCGCTTGCCTTCGCCCGCCCTCCTGCTCTCAATGCCTACACAGGACCGGAAAATCGCCCTGCGCGTGTGGAAGTGGGGTGCGTTATGGGCTGGTTGGGGCATTTGTTCCAGATACATTGGACACAATGATAGGCAACAGGAGCACTGCTCCTTGGAGCAGGGAAGAAAAAAAATGAAAGACCACCCCTCCTGGCCAATCGCACTGTCCATCGGGCCGCTCACCGACACGTCTCGACCTTTGTGTACTTGGCAGTCTTCCAGTCGGACAAGGATAAGGAACGCCGGAATGAAGACAAGGCGGATACACACATTTACCAACTCGGTATGTAACCCTTCTGCCTGTGGAGGTGGGGGCCGGGTCCCGGGGCCAGGCCTACTTTGTGCATTGCATCCGGCCCTCCCCCCGGTGAGGCTGTCGATTGCCTGGCGGTGGGCATTTTGGCACTTCGGCTTATTCGAGCACGCATTGACGGTGATAATGCACTCGCCGGGCCATGTGGCCGCTGTCGATTCGCCTGTCGTCAAGGCACCATCATCGACCTGAGCAAGACATACTTTGTCTCCGAAAACGGGCGCCTTCCCCAAGAGATGAATTTGGACCAGCACACCTGTGACGGTGCATGCAATGGCATGAAGCCGATGGTTCTTCACATTAACCTGGAAACTGGCTTGGACGAGAATCCCGGCACGGCCATGGAGCCCGTGAGGTCCGCTGAGCGGTTGTATGAATTGATGCAGAAGAGTGTATGTTTGGAGTCCTGCACATGGCCCATAACCGCCGGTGGATGCTCCTTTGCCCTCCGGCCTTGACGCGTGCCTATGCCCTGCGCCTTTCTCCGGGGTTGCTTTTCGATGGTCACTCACATATGACACCCTGTGGGACGTGGCTCGGGCTACCATGCCAACCCAGAAAACCTGTGTGCTTCTTGTCTTCGCCCTGTCATTCGGTATGTCTTCTTGTTGTGATCGAGGGTTGGGAGTGGCTTTTTTCGGTCCACAACCAGGGAGTGACGGAGTATTGGTGCCTTCTGACCGCGTGCCTTCGAGAAGTTCGCTTTGCCAAGGTGTGCCAGCTATTTGGCGAGGACAGTGAGACCAAGGAAGAGGACCACATCTACAGGACCATCAAGTTTGTCAATGAATATCTTCCCGTACGTAGTCGAGGGTTGTTTTGCATTTCCGCGCCGCTCGTTTCGGTGTTCGAACGGCGGATGGGATCTTGCCTTGTGCCCGCCAAGGGGACAAATCGGCCGCGGGAGCCTTTACCTCTGTCAGTCCCTTTGCAATCATGTTCTTGCGTGTGTGTGTGTGTGTGTGTGGGACATCTGTACGTGCGTCGATGGGTCGGGGATTCGTCTTCTAACTGTGGGTCAAATCGCCGCGCTGTCACGTTCTTAGGATCGCATGCCGATTCTGGCGGTGTACCGTCACTGTGCGTTGATCGTGGGTGTTGGTGGAGTTGCTTTCGGCTGCGATTGCCCATCTACGCACATGTGCCTTATTAACCGAAGTGTTTGTTTGTCCCCTTCAGTCTCCGACAACAACGTGCGCGGGAACATCTTTTTTTTTTTTTTTTTTTTTTCATTGCGCCTGGTCACTTTTACCTGGCCACGATGCCTCGCGCTCGATTTTCCCCCTTTGTGTTGAATGTGACCGTGTCACTCACAGTCGCTTGGGTGGTGGTGGTCTCAGTATTCGGCTCATGCTCTTACCTCCGTCGTGAGCAGCCTGACTGTCAAGGACGAGCAGTAGAATGTAGCACTTGGAGCCATGGCTGCATGAGTCGTGAAGAATGCGGCCGGGCTCGCCTTTGGGAGGTCTTTTTTCCGCCGGTTTTTGCCTCCCCCCCCCCCCTGGGTGCGCCCATGCTGGGCTCCTGACACCCTGTGTTTGTGTAGTAGTACCCTTGGGTGGGTTTCCCATTGTACGAGCTCATCCGTGGGCTGGGCTTTCGTCCGAGACAGCGGTGGGCCCCTGCCCGGTGGTGCTGCCTTTCAATAGACGATGCTTTTTTGCGTGCCTATGCCCTGTACTTTGGAGCTGATGTGTCAGGCAGACCTGCGGTCAGGAGGCCGAGGCGGTCGAGCATGGGGCATCGCACGAATGCCCGGAGTCGCTCGGGCAGGAGCCCTCGCCCGAGGGGACCTCTCCAGCACCCATGGGTGATGCAGGGATCAAGGTGCTTGTCGGATGGCGGGACTTCGGTCGAATGGCGAGTGTAGAATCACTCGGGGCGGGGCCTTTTTTCACTGCATGGACACATGCAGGGATCAGCCTGCTGTACGCGGTCGGTTTCGGGTGCGCTTTATCATTGAGACGCAGAGAGAGGGAGATGCGCCCCTTCCTTGGTGAGGCCACAGCTGCTCCGTGGCTTGAGGAACTGACAACCTCCGTGGAGTAGAGTGGTCGCATGTGGGATTCATTGTTGACTCAAGACAACGTCGCACCACATCCCACATAAGCCCTCCTGCCCGGTTCGCTTGTCACGTCTCATACCGCGATCGGACGCACGGCATCTGCACCCGAGATGCCTGGGGATTCTCACTGAAAGGGAGGCAGGGAGACCACGAGGAGGCGCCTTGCACGGAGCCCGACCACGTTGGAGATCCCCATAAGGGGCTGGACGGGAGTGGAGCTATGGACTTTGCGGTGGTTGATAGCCGGGCCGGCCAGGAGGCGACTTTCTCCGGAGAGAGGGCGGCGAGGCCGTGTGGATGGGTCCGGCTCCTTGGGGGTCATGGTCGTCTGGCCAGCTGAGCCGGTCGGGGCCATCGCGCCGGAACGGCCATTGTGTGTGCTGGATGTGGGCTCCGGCATCCGCCTCACAAGGGCCCCAGCGGACATGGAAGACGCATGCAGAGCGACAACGCGCCCGAGTATTGGGGACACCCGGCGAGAGGCTTTCCCTCGGATGGGTCATCGGGCGCCGTGTGGCGCGATGGATGTTGAGGCGGCGATGGGCGGCCCGCCGGGCGGCGCACGTCCACGAAGGGAAGATCGCGCGGTGTGGGGTGATGCTTGCAGCTGGTGGGACACCGACAAGGGGCCAGGCTTTCGAGCCACATGGCCACCACCGGGAGCGGCGCGCCTCTGCCAGCACAACCAATGGGGCCCGTCGGCAAGGGGAGGCCGGCCTCTGTCCTCGACCTTGGCTCCGGGTGGGTGCCCTTGCGAGCCATGAGGCGCGTGGCCCATGCTGACAGACTGGCGCGCACATCCTCCACCATGCCCTCCGTGATCCGAGGGAGGGCCGTGGTGGGCCGTGGTGGGCCGTGGTGGGCCTCGGGCCGCCAATGGACGGGGCGAGGTGCAGTGGGGGGAGTGTCGGGGGCATTTCACAGGACCGGGATGGACCGGTTCTTGCTTGCGGTTGTCTCGACAAGCACTGCAGGGCCCATGTGCTGGGCGACCATGCCCCACGCGTAGGGGCCGCCATCGTACGGATGACGGGCCATGGTGTGGGGTCCTTGTCACAATGGCCTCGCTCCCTGGCTCCCAGGCCCGATGGGCATGTTGGCGGCTCGATACCGGCCTTCCAGCATGACATACAGGGCGTGGCTGCCTGCAAGGGGCTCTGCACGGCGGGGCGCGTGCCATTTGAGGCGCGTGGAAGCCGACCGCCCCTGGCAATGCGATTGGGCAGCCCTGTATGGCAGATGGATGTGCATGTGTGCGCATGAATCTGCGTGGCGGCGCTGGCTGGTCGACCGGCCCTTGGAGAAACCATGTCCCAGGTGCGCGAAAGAACCGGTATCCGGTGTCGTGGCGTCCGTACGCCGAATGGCCCCCTTGCACCTGGGTGGCCAAGCAGTGGTCAGGGGGAGAAAGGAATCTCGGAGCTTCGGGCGCCGGTATGCTCGGAGCAGCCTTTCGCCGAGCAAAGGAGCCACAACAGCGCCCGCGCTGGGACGAGCGATTGCTTGCCTGGCTGTTTTGTGGCGATTGGGGCTTTCTACCCGAGATCATCTCGGCGACGACCGAAGCTCCTGCCAAGGGGAGGGGGGCGCCTCCACAGACCAAGCGAGGAGAATACATGGCTTGGGTGTGTCGCGCGGTCACTCTCGGGCCGGAAGCGACGTGATAGGAGATGGCTAGGTGGCGAGGGGAGGGCATTGACGAGTGTTGCGCAATCGGGCCCAGCGAGTGTGCGCCCTGGTTGGCGGTGTGCTGTCTGGCCTCTGGGGCCGAGCAGGCGAGGGGAGCCCAATCGCGCGCATCAAGCGCCAAGGTCTCTCCGGCACATGCGATACCTCGGTCGATGCGGGCCTCGCCGGGCGGAAGGTGCCCGCGCGGCGGGTGCTATGGCGTACGGGAGGCAAGCTGACCGGTCGACATGGTCCTGGTAGAGGATGGCTATGGTTGTGCCTCGGCATGATGGCATGCCAGAACGTCGAGGAGGGTATGTCGCGAAGACGCTCCAAGCGCAGGATCGCCAAGGTGTCAGAGGGAAACCCGGAGAACGGGGGAGGTCCGCGGGGACAGGCTTCAGATGGCAACCGCCGCGCTATACAACGGCGGAGGCGGGCTGAGGGATAAAATGAGGCGGCACAGCCGCCGGTCTCCAGGTGAAGGACGGGGCGAGATGGATGGGTGTGCCTGTTGGAGCAGACACCAAGGCTGGGCCCTCCGGCGGGTGGGGGCCTGGACAACGCCGAGCGGGCTCCCGTGTCCAGGGGCTGCTTTCGATGAGCACGTTTGCGCTCGACGTTTGGCCCGGGGCTCGGGCATGGGCGCGCTGGGGCTTTTGCCCGGTCGATGGCGGGCACTGGGCGAGCCGCCCTCGGCCGCCGCATCGAAGATGTGGACTGGCCGGCAGTTGGGGGGGGGGAGGATGAAAAGTAGAGCAAGAGGGAGCGAGCAGACAGGACATCGGGTGCGACGGAGACAGGGGGTGGAGAGACCGAATGATGCCAGGCGACCCACAGCAATCCCATCGCCGGAAGGGGGTTGCTTGCATCTGACTGCGAGAGGATGGGCCGGGCCGGCCCCCGCGGGCGGAGGTCCAGCAGCGATCCCCCTGAGAGGGGAGATTAGACCCTTGGAGAGTATTTGCGCGCGCAGGCGCGGCCCCTGGTCGCCTGCCTGTGCGATTGGCTTCCTCTGTGTCGGCGGGCGCGCGTCTTGGCCGCGCTGACGGTGCGAGCGCATCACCCGCCGGAGGAGGCGCCTCTGGTGGAGGGGCCGATTCGGAGGGTCACAAGGCCGCCCTCGGGCCATCGGGGCCGGCGGGGCGAGCGCAAGTTCCCCAGTGGCCAGCAGATAGCATGCCGCCATTGCCCGGCAGAAACAGACCTCCATGGGGGGGGGTGTATTGTGCACAGGGGGCCGTGATGGCGAGCCAAGGAGCCTGGGCCAGGGTGCAAGGGACGGCGCCATGAGCCCCGCCGGGGGCCCCAGAGGGCGGGCGGGCGAGTTCCGGGCCGGGGGGCATCTTACTGGCGCTGCCTGCGGGAGACGGTGTCCCAAAGGTCGGCCACTCGCTCGTCCGTGCGATCCACAGCATGGAGATATGCATAGAAGACATACAACTCGCCGAGGATGAGGGGATAGGCGAAGGCCGAAAGAGGAGTGGCCCCGGGCTCCTTGCTGCGGGCAATCCCATGGAACGTCGGGGCATCCGGCACAGGGAGACCGGGGCAGATGGCCACCAGGCGCTCCAGCGTACGCTCGCCCATGGTCGGGCCAAGCACACAATGGGCATGCTGGCTCCAAGTGCCGGGGGTGGCGGCGGGGTCCCCTGCGTCGGCGGCATGATGCTCGCCATCCGGGCGGCGGGGGTAGCCAGCCACATCGATGGCCGGCCGGGTGCCGGCCAGGAGGATGGCACCGTACTTGCTGTTGAGGATGAAGGCCAGCAGCATGGCAAGCTCCCTCGACTGGTCGAAGTGCACCAAGGGGCGCCGCGGGCAGCCGGACGCGGCCGCCAGAAAGTGGGCCAGGCAGTAGAGGGACTGATCGTGGCGAAGGTCGAACAGGAAGTCCATGCCGGTGAGGTGCTGCCTCATGTCGGCCCATGAGTCGGTGCTCGGCTGCCAGGGCGCCTGGAGCAGGGCAATGCGCACGAGATAGGGCTCGGGCTCGGCCCGGCCGCGATGGGGCACCTGGGGCCTTTGGATGACAATGGCCGAGCAGGTATCCATGTACCGGGTGGACTGCCGGAAAAGGTGTCTCTGCCGGGGCGACGAGGGGTCGGGCTGGAGCTCGGGCAGGCTGCATGCCCCCCGCTGGGCCATGTCGATGGGCTGCTGCAGGGCCAGGGCCAGGCTGGCCGGGGGGGCATGCCCGACGAAGATGGCGTGGAATGAGCCACGTAGCGACAGGTAGGCCCCAGGGGGGAAGGTGGTCTCCAGCATGTGGGAATACTCCCCCATGTTCAGGTCTGCTCGGCGGGGGAGGGTAGGCAATCAGTGGGGGGGGGGAGGGAGGGGGAAGGAGGCCGGACCTCGCGCGAGCAAGCCCCCCTCTCGGGCAGGCAGGCAGCGCCAAACGCACCGATGTCGAAGTCCGGGATCTTGGCCAGCAGCTGATCCCGCATGAGGATGGCGAAGGGCTTCAGGACGGCCAGACCCGTGCGAAGTGGGTGGGGCTGCAGGTGCGCGCTGGCCTCCTCGAAGAGCATGCCGTGGAGGGCGTCCACTTTGTCGCACACCTGCGCCTTCAACTCGAGCACTTTGTTCCCATACCCATGGCTGAAGAAGCGGGTGGTGTCGTAGTGGAGCAGGTACATCATGAAGGCCTTGGGGAGCCGGGCCGCGTCAGGTGGTGCTTCGCCCGGTGATCAGCAGGGGAGGGGAGGACGGGGGGTGTGCTAGCAGCGCGTGCCACGTACAAGGACGACGGCTCGGTCCAAAATGCCAAGCGTCTCGGTCTGCTGAAAGGCGGAGAAGACTATCGCCACAATGTCGTCCTCCTCGGCCAGCTCCGACACTGGGTGGGGATGGTCAGTGGGCTGGCGGCGGGGGACACCTCATCCGCGCAAGGCGACCCATCGCGGCGGCGGCGGCGGCGGGAAAGGACGTACTCCTGCGCTCGGCAGTCCTGAAGAACCGGTCCACGTCGTCCGGGAGCTGCCAGTGGAGTGGCTGATGTCTGGCCATCTGGGCGGGTCTTCCCTGGGGAGGGGGCACTTTCTGGGCAAAGGCGCCGCTGCGGGGTGGGGGGGGGGTAGAACTGGCCGGTCGCAGTGGGGCAGCCGCGCTGACCTTGCTTGTGGCGCCGCTGTGGGGAGGGGGGGGGCGGCTGAGAGGGGAGGTGCGCGAGATCGGGCACTTCAGGTTGCGCGGGGGGGGCCGGGCGATGGGTGTGGGACTGGTTGAGTGGTGCTGCCCTGTGGGGCCCTCCATTTGGGTCCCTTCGGCCCGGGGCCGGGCATGCTTCCCGGCGGCGATGGGTGTCCCCTGCCTGTGTGGGAGCGAGGGGTCTTCGGAGCGATGAGTTGCAGCCGAGGCGCCAACGTACCGAAGACACCGCCGTGTATCAACCTCCTGACGTCATGGTGTCGTTACGCCGGCGCCCCAGCACCCGCCATCAGAGCCGAGGGGACCGAGATGGGCTCGCCGGCGCCCGGGGCAGCCCGGGAGCGGGGGCGCGGCATCCCTCGGGCCGGCCGCGCGTTCGGGCAGTCGGAGGCGAGAGACGGGGGAAGCAGTCCCGCACGTGTGGAGCCGACCAGCGGTCGCCGAGCACTCCGGCCGGGCCCACCACCGAGGGCCGAGCTTGGGTTGCTTTGACGCCGCCCGGCCCGGTTTGGGGCTGACAAGGGGGCCCCTCTGGCAGCATGCTCCTTCGGGCCGGGCACGTTCTTCGTCCGGGCCGCGGGCCATGGGAACCACTCGAGGCGCCTCGCCCCGCGAAGATCGCCAGGCAGACACGGGGCGCCACCAGCAAGGGCAGGCTGGCGATCTGCCTCCGGCCGCTGGAGGCAGCACGGGCACCGCCACCAGACCGACAGCTGCTCCTCCGGGCGAAGATGCTCCGGGACCCGGGAGAGAGGCTGTCCAGCTCGGGGCCGCGCACATACATCGCATGTGTCGAATGCCCCTTGCGTGGTGGTGACCCGGTCGAAGGGGCAGGGGTGACACGCAGGCAGGAGACACACGCCTCCCGAGTCCGGGGCGGCCGGTCGTTGGGGGAGGGGGAGGGAGATGTGGGCTGTCCGCCCGACCCAGACCCCTGGCTCGGGGAGCGTATGTCTGTGTGTGCGTGCCTTTTCATCTTTGCTCGAAGACAAGCACTTGGGGTCCCCGGCCGCAAGCAGGGAAGTGGCCAGGCCTGCCGGCCGATGCCCCACATCCTCGCCGCAACCTCGAGCAGATGGGAGGCCTGGCCAGTGGGCTGCCTGCCATGCTCCCCCGGGCAGCACATGGACCGGGCCAGCCGGCGGCTGGATCGGTGCCGTTCCGGGCCGGTGCCGATCCATGCGCCGGGGTTGGACGGCGGCCCGGCCGAGGCGCCTGGGTGCGGGGCACGGCAGGGGCCATTTCGGGCGGCGATCAGCCGGTTGGGGGTCTCTGTACGCGAGGCGGCGCGTCCGGGGCGAGGGGCAGGCGAGTTCGATGCGCGCGTTTTGAGGCCGGGCAGAGAAGCATCGGACAAGGCATCTGGGAGTTGGCGCCGTGCGGGCCGCCGGCCCATCGCCGATCGGAGGGCCGCCCCTGCGGGACGAATCGGCCCGGGGAAAGAGCAGTTCCATGCTTCGAAGGGCATGATGCGTTGCCCAGATGACCGGGCCGCGAGCCACGTTGTGCAGGGCCAACGCCATTGGCATTGGGCGCTGGTGGCCACATCATGTGATGTATATTTCATGGTTGTAGCAGGGTTCTCACGGATCCGGTCTTTCGTCAAAGGAGTGATGCTTTGACGGAAGCCATACCGGAAATCTGCCACTGGTTATGGGGCACTCTGGGGCATGAAGTAGAGGGCGTACCGAACCAGGGAATACGATGCCGCCTGGAAGGAGCGAGACTGGTAACTCGGCCTGAGAGGAGTTAGCGGACGAACGGGAGAAAGAAAGAATAAAAATAAAATAACAGGGTTCGAGAGGGAGCCTGAACTGGTGTTCGCGGGCTGGACTGGTGGCTCTCAGTGATGCTCTCGCTTGCTCTTCGGCGCACACAGCTGCCAAGCTCTTCGCTCTCAGGAGGCTCCCGGGGGGAGTCCCCCTTTTGACCTTTGGGTCGGTCAAGGGGCAGATTTGAGAACTCCGCGCACGCGCGTATCTCCGTTCCTCTCTCGGGCTCCTCCTCTATCGGCCCGGGATGGGCGGCCATTCGGCTGTTGTCTTGCCCCGCGCTTCTCCTTAGAGGAACGCCATTTATAATGCCAAGTCTGTCACGGGGTATCCGACACGTGCGGTTTGTAACTCAACAAGTGATTTGGCTTATGGAGTTCGGGCGGGGATTCCACTACACCAGCCTTCGAATCGGCCCCCATCCTTGGCCGGGGATGCCAGAGAGCCCGATCTACCAACAGCCAGGCCTGGGTCCGGACACATCCGCATGAAGCTGGCCCGTGTGTACGCACGCCAGATGGGTCCTTCTTTTTATTTCGGCCGCCACCCCGCCCTCCCCCACGGCGTCCGGAGCTGCATCCAAGCCACCCTCCTCCCTGTGTTTCCCTCCCTTTCCTCCTCTCCCCCGCCCCCTTCGTGACCCCCCTCTCCCCTCTCTCTTTCCTTCTGTCGGACTCCAATGCTCCCCTCGGTAGTGGCCGCTGGCCGAACCTTGCGCCAGGCGATCCGACCAGCGATGCTGGGACTGGCGCGAGGGGCACCGCGGCCCAATGGTGGCCTTCGGCCTGTGGCCATGCTGCCCGCGACGCTCGGGCTGGGCACTGGCGCGGTGGCGTACCCGAGCCGCGGGCTTTCCTCGACCGCCGTCGAGACGCCCCCCCGGCCGGCCCCCCCTCCGGCGCATGGCCCCAGAGGCGCCATAGATCTGGCCCCGTATGATGTGGATTGTGCCGGGGCGCGTCTTTGTCGGGAGATCGAGGCCGGGGTGACCCCGCTGCCGCGGGGGTTCGACGATGTGGAACACTTCCGGCTATTCCTGCGGCTCAGCGGGGACCCGTCCGTGGGCCGGCCGCTGGAGGCCCTCTGCACCATGGGTCGGCTGCTGGGGATGGATCGGGCCTCGGTGCGGGGCCTGCTTGACCGGTATGCCCGAGTCTATGGGATTCCCCCGTCGCGGCGTTCGATGAGAACCCCGGTGCCCGGGCTGGGCCCCGGGCATCCGATCTTCGAGGACATGATGGCGCTGGCGCGGCGAGATCCACCGGTCCTTGGGAGGACCCTCTGCCGGCTGGTGCGCATGCCAAGCCAGGTGGTGGAGGCCCTGCTGAAGGAGCATATGCCGGAGGTGCTGACCATGCCGGAAGTGGCTCAAGGGGTGTGTATCCACCGGCTGCGGGAGCTGGTGACCGTGTCTCCGGCCCTGTCGCGACGCAGCATGTCTGTCCTGCTGTCGTGCGATGCGTTTTCCGTGAGACGCAAGATCGAGGTCCACATGCCGGAGTATCTCGACGTTCATGTGTTCACCATTCCCCCGGGAAAGCAGCAGGCGCTGCGAGCCGTATTGGCCGATAGGAGCATCGTGCCGGCGCCCACACAAGCGGAGGTGTGCCAGCTAGCCGGCGTGGATTTGTACGCCCTCCGGACCTTTGGGCCGCTTCTGCATGCGGAATATGCGGTTCGCCGGTGGGGGGAACTACCGCCGGCGATGGTGGACCAGCTGCGGGCGCTGCTGCGGAAGCGGTGCCACAGCGTGCGCGAGATGGCCGACCAATTGGGCCTACCGGTGAAGCGGCTCCGGTGGTACATCAAGCACTATGAGCCGGGGGCGATGCTGCCACGTCGGATAAATGGGCCGTTGCGGCAGCTGGCCCCGCCGGCGGGGCTCGGCCGGCTGACGCTGGAAATGTATGTGAATCGCTTTCTGCCGGAGGAATCGCCGATTCGCCGGAACCCGAGTGTGGAGTTCATCGACCGGCTGGGCGCCGAGTGGGAAGCCGGCGCGTCGGCCGGCGGCGCCGGGTCGGAGCCCGGCTCGCGAGCCCGGGCGCCGGCCAATGACCGGGACTTGAGGGGGGTCATTCAGTCGCTGGTTTGGCTGCGGCCGACCTTGTCGATGTTCGAACTGGCCGAGCACTTGGTCATGTCGGTGCAGAGCCTCAGAAAGGCCGTGGCTGCGATCGACTGGCCGGCGGACCCGCGGAATTACCAGACCCAGGCATTGGCCCTGCCGCGTGAGGACATTCTCAAGCTGAGGATGCTGGGGAACCGGGTGCACCCGGCCGGCGGGCGCATGCTGCTCACGGTGTCGGAGATCGCGGCCAAGATGGAGCGGTGCCCGGATTTGGTGTACACCCTGCTGCATCGGTATTGTCCGGAGTACTTCTTCCTGGCGCTGGCCCCGGAGGCGGGATCCGGCCCGGGGGGGATGTACGTGCCGGAGGGGAAGTTGGCTGCACTCCTGGCGGCGGTGGAGACCCCGACCCCCGGGGTGCTGCTGCACCAGGTGGCGGCGGATCTGGGCTGCGCCCTGCCGCAGGTGTTGAACTCGTTGCTGCGGCATGCCTGTCGGCAGGGTGTCAACTATAAATTGCCAAACTATGCACGCCACACGGCTGGCCGGGCGTTCGAGCTGAAGGAGCTGCTGATTGCCAATCCCCACTTGACGCGCAGCCAAGTTGGGCTGATGGTCAAGCCTGGCCAGATCGGCTTCTACGATCGGTGCATACACTACATTCGCTAATGGCACTGTCCTGGTTGTTGGGGAGAGAGTGTTTCCGGCTGTTGTGAGGGGGGGGGGGACTGTGTCGATGTATATGCATGAATGTGTGGGGGAAAGAGCGGGGGCGGGCGGCTGGCCGACCGGGCCTGTCAGTGGGGCGGCCCGGACAGGGCAAAGAGCGCCACGAGAAGGGAGGGCAGGGCGCGCATGGCTGGCGATCGCACGGAGCTGCCGGCGGCGGTCGGGCGGGGGGGGGGGGGGGGCGGTGCAACCATGCGGTGTGGTGCGGGCACCGGGAGGAATGGTCTTCTCGGGCCCGGACCTCGTTCCCGCCTCGGGGAGGAACCGGCTGTGGGTGCGCGCCGGGGATGGTGCTGGCCGTGGATCCGGGGCTTCTGTGCCGAGCCCCCGACGGCCGGGGGGGGGGGGACAGACGTACATGTTCGTGGGCTGCAAGATGCAGGGGGATGTGGTTCCGACGGGGCGCGTTGGCACGTGCGGTGCCCATGCGTCCAGGAAGCCGGGCCCTCGGCGCGCGAGGCAAAATCCAAGGAAAGGGCGAGTAATATATTGCGGGCAAAATAGGGCGTTTTTTTTTGGGGGGCAATGGGCCCTGTGTGTGGGGAGAGGTTTCTTCACCCCACCCCACGTCCTCACGCCCCCCCCCCCCTTCCGACCCGCGTGTATGCATGGATGCTGTCTTTGGCGCCGTGCACCACGAAGTTTTTTCCACGCCTTTTTTTTTTTTTCCGCGCCCCTCCCCCGGCGAGTCTGCCCGTGTGCCTTTTGCCCTGAGGCCCAAACGCCTGGCGCCTCGCCTCCCGGGTCCCCCTCGGCCTCTCCTTGCCGGCATGCCTCCTCCTCTGGACCGCTGCTCTCCCGAGGGGGGACGGACGGCGCTTTATTGCGACTGGTCTTTTTTGGTTTCCCCCCTCCGTGAGCCGTGTTCTTTTTTTTTTTCGCTCGCCCGTCGGGGGTCCCCTTGGTTTGGGTCCTGCGCCCGGCCGCTCCTGCTGGACGTGTGCCTGCTCGCAGGCAGGGGCCATTGCCCGGGGCATCATGCGGCGATTGTGTTTGTCCGAGACGTGGCCCTCTGCTGGCGCGCCTTCCCTGCCTGTCTCCCCCTTTCGCTCCTCGTCCCTGCCTGCTCCGTGGCAATGCGCCGCGCCGACATGCGATTGCTTGCCGCGGCCCCTGTCAGCGTGTGGTGGTCCATCCACGCGCCTCTTCCTTCTCTCTGCTTTCCTTTTCTCTCTCTCCCGTCGCCGCCGCCGCTCTCGAAACGCCCTCCACCCTTTTTCCCATTCTTTGAAGCTGTCTTTGGCGCTGCCCTTCTTCGGTTGCCGCGCGCACCTCCCCTCCCGTGTGCCGCTGGCTGTCAGGGGGACCAGGCGGGGCCTCTCCTTGCCATTCTGCCCCCAGAGAGGAACTGACTACTTTGCTGGCAGGACACATACATGTGCATGTCGTCTTCTGTGCGCCGCATCCCACCCCCCTCGCCTTGCGACTGCGGCGCAGCCCCTGCCATCAGCTTGACACATGGCTAGGCATACCATGACGGGGGATCGGCGCTCCTCTTGGCTCCATCCCCGGGGAGGGGGCATGGCACCGGCGACCTGGCGTGCTCCCGCCGAGCGCGAGACACGGTGCTGCGTGAGCGCCGGTGTGCCTGGCGCCCTTGGCACGGGGGATGCGCCGCGGCGTGTGCCTCCCGTGGGCCCGTGGGGTCTCGCGCGGTCGGCCATGCGTGATGCTGGGGTGTCTGGAGTCGATTGGCCGGGCGCCCTTCGGCCCGTGCTGTCTGCCTCCCCGGCGAGAGCCGACCCACGCATCCGTGCGGGGTCCTCCCCCGTGGGCGTCCTGCACTTGGGCGTGGGTGCGCCGGGCGATGTCCAGCGGCAGGCGCCCACCGGCCTGGGGCAAGGTCCCGATCGCGGCGCGGCGCATGCCGGGAAGGGGCACCACGTCTGGGCGAGTGGGGCGGGATGCGCTGCAGTGCCGCCGCGTGGTCTGGTCGATGCAGACTGATCCCGGCGAGGATGGCGCTGGTGGCCTACCGGGAGGAGCGGCGGGACGGGGCTGTTGCCGGTGTTTTGGATGGGGATTCCGATGGGGCGGCCAGCCCGCACGGGCAGGCGATGGGCACTCGGCAGCCGGCCCAGCACCCATGCAGTGCCTCCCGGGAACGGGGCGTGACCGGGGAGCAGGCTCGCTGGCGCGCAGGCCATCTCCAGCGAGCCGAGACATCGTGGCTATGCTTGCCGGCTTTCGTGTCAGCCAATGCGGGGCCGAGGGGCCGATGCCAGTATGCTGCCATACTTGGGGCGGGGACAGGAGGATACGTCCTGGCCCGGGGGAGGTGCTTGGTCGAGGTGCTCCCTGACTTCGTAGAGGGGGGTGATGGACGCTCGCGGACCGACCAGGCGGTGAGTCTGCGGCTGCGCCATTCGTCAGACACACGGTGCTGGCGTGCTGCCGCTGCTCGTGGGCTTTTCCCCTGGCGGTAGAGTGGCGCGGGGGGGGGGGGGGAGGTGCTTAGTCGAGGTGCCAGTGCCCACTGTTGGCCGATGCATGAGCAGGGGACATCGCCGGGGGCGGGTGGGCGGTGCCCAGGCCACAGTGGGCGGCCGCCCCATTTCCCGACCCCGGTGCCCAATCTTCCTTCGGGGGTGCCTTGCACGCTGGACATGGCTGTGCGCTGGTCATGGGCAGCGTCTGGGGCAGGCTGTCTCGGTCGCGCCCCTCCCCGGAGGAGACCCGGAGGTGTGTTAGAGGGGTGGGTGTCATTTGCCTTGGAGCGCGTCTCGCTCGGGCTCCACTCCTTTCGGATGCGGCCCCCCTCAGGTATGACACCCATGTCGGGACATGGGGAGGGGCGGATGGACCTGCAGCGCGGATGCGTGCCGGCACCGGGCGGACATGTGCTCGGGGCCGGGTCTGAGCGCTGGTGTGCATCCGTGCGCCGAGGGCAGGGAGGCTCTGCTGGGCAGGCCCTAATGGCGATTGCGCACGCGCGTGTGCTTACGTCCGAGCGCCAGGTGTGTGTGGCCTGCTGCGGGTGCGGTGACACCTTGTTCCGAGGGCATCCCTGGGAGGTGGTCCAGGTCATTTGGGAGGCATGTGCGTGCCAACATGCCACGGGCGGGGTCTGACCGCTCATCAGGGCCCGGAGGCGAGCGGGCGGCTTTCCCTTCACGCGGCGACGCACGCCCCTGGGCGATGGGTGCTAAAAGATGGCCAAGTGACGGACTTCGGAAACGGAACGCCGCTCAGGTGGCCGGGGTTCTGGCGACCACGGCAGCGGGCATGTGGTGGTGCTTGAGGCGCCGGCCTTTCTTCCTTCGCATCCGGACGGATCGCCGGAGGAGCTGGGCTGCATGGTCGTGCGAATGGGGGACGAATTTTGGCCGTGGTGCGGGGGAATGCCTCCGGCCGGGGTTGGCCCCTCGCGGGGTGGTACTTCCCTACCGAGCAACACGGCCACCCTGGGAGTGTGTGATCGATGGCGCGGGATGCCACATGCAGATGGCGAAGGGCGCACCAGGAGGTCCTTGGTCGCCTGAGGGTGGATCGACAAAAAGGCCGCGGTCGTGCCGACCCAGCGGGGACAGCCCGCCGTCAAAGGCTCCTCGTTTCCGAAGGGGCCGAATGTATCCGGGCCGCGGGGTCGCGCATAGGAGGTGGCCACACTCAACGCCCCATAGGCGAACGGGGAAGGACCCTGCCCGTAGAGCCTGCAGGGTGTTTCGGTGGGGGGGGACATCGTCCGAGAGGAGGCAGGCAGGCGGGGGCCGTGTTGCTTGGTGCAGCCCGCTGGGAGGGGTCTCGGCTGAAGCATGCCGCGGGCAGCTCTTTCACGGCAGGGTGCCTTGGAGGGCGCGGGGCCGAGGCGATCCGGCTCGATTAAGACTTACTCCAGAACACAGGTGGTAAAGCGCGATGAATGTTTGACAGTGTCATGTGCACAACTTGTACATTCCCGTCGCGGAATCTGTCTGACGAGCATTTTCTGTGCGAGAGGAACGACACTTCTTCTTGACTCGGGGCATCCACGTCGGCAGACGATCGGCCTTCTGCCCAAGCGGGCTTCGGCACCTCTCTCCTGGGTGGGGGGGGGATAAGGGACTCGGATGCAGGCCGAAGAGAACTTGGTGGGGAGGGGATCCACGCTCGGGTACCGACGCCGATCGCTGGGGTTTGTGAAGGGGAGGGCGCGCGAATGACCAGCCCTGCTCCAGCGGGTGTGAGTGCACTTTGAAGCCACGGTCCCCCCGGGAGCCGGTTTGCCTTCCCTCCTTGGACATCCTCCTTGACTCTTTGCCGATGATGCTCGGTTTGTTCCTCGGCGGGCGAGCGCCGCCCTGCTCGGACTGGCTGCCTGGATCAGGGGGATGTTCTGCCGGAAGATGAACGCGTCAGGCCTGGCGCACGTTTGCCGGGCCCTTGAGGAGGGTGCTGTGGGGCATCTCCGGCTGGTGAGGATGGGCCCTCGCCCTGTCGAGGGACAAGATGGCTCAGTCACTGGCAAGCGACAGGGCGCGTGGCGTTGATGGGCGAGACTATGGTATGGATGCCATTACCCGGGGCTGATAACCGGGTCCGAACCGGCAGGATCGGCTGTCTGCTCCTCTGTTTGCAAGCGACTTGCACCAGTCGTCCACGGGGCCGAGAGG